AGGTTGGTCCCCTTCTCTACTGTGATACTGTTTGTAGACAGTGATTTACAGTGACATGTATTTGGTGTTTTGTTACTGTTTTGTTGTAAGTGTGGTCCCCCTTCTCTACTGTGATACTGTTTGTATTCAGTGATCTACAGTGACATGTATTTGGTGCTTTGTTACTAGTCAGTGATCTACAGTGACATGTATTCGGTGTTTTGTTACTGTTTTGTTGTAAGTGTGGTCCCCCTTCTCTACTGTGATACTGTTTGTATTCAGTGATCTACAGTGACATGTATTTGGTGGTTTGTTACTGTTTTGTTGTTAGTGTGGTCACCCTACTCTACTGTGATACTGTTTGTAGTCAGTGATCTACGGTGACATGTATTCGGTGTTTTGTTACTGTTTTGTTGTTAGGTTGGTCCCCCTTCTCTACTGTGACACTGTTTGTAGTCAGTGATCTACAGTGACGTGTATTTGGTGTTTTGTTACTGTTTTGTTGCTAGGTTGGTCCCCTTCTCTACTGTGATACTGTTTGTAGTCAGTGATCTCCAGTGACATGTATTTGGTGGTTTGTTACTGTTTTGTTGTTAGTGTGGTCACCCTACTCTACTGTGATACTGTTTGTAGTCAGTGATCTCCAGTGACATGTATTTGGTGGTTTGTTACTGTTTTGTTGTTAGTGTGGTCGCCCTTCTCTACTGTGATACTGTTTGTAGTCTGTGATCTACAGTGACATGTATTTGGTGCTTTGTTACTGTTTTGTTGTTAGGTTGGTTCCCCTTCTCTACTGTGATACCGTTTGTAGTCTGTGATCTACAGTGACATGTATTTGGTGCTTTGTTACTAGTCAGTGATCTACAGTGACATGTATTCGGTGTTTTGTTACTGTTTTGTTGTAAGTGTGGTCCCACTTCTCTACTGTGATACTGTTTGTAGTCAGTGATCTGCAGTTACATGTATTTGGTGTTTTGTTACTGTTTTGTTGCTAGGTTGGTCCCCTTCTCTACTGTGATACTGTTTGTAGTCAGTGATCTACAGTGACATGTATTCGGTGTTTTGTTACTGTTTTGTTGTAAGTGTGGTCCCCCTTCTCTACTGTGATACTGTTTGTAGTCAGTGATCTATAGTGACATGTATTTGGTGTTTTGTTACTGTTTTGTTGTTAGTGTGGTCCCCCTACTCTACTGTGATACTGTTTGTAGTCACTGATCTACAGTGACATGTATTTGGTGCTTTGTTACTAGTCAGTGATCTACAGTGACATGTATTCGGTGTTTTGTTACTGTTTTGTTGTAAGTGTGGTCCCACTTCTCTACTGTGATACTGTTTGTAGTCAGTGATCTACAGTGACATGTATTTGGTGTTTTGTTACTGTTTTGTTGTTAGTTTGGTCCCCCTACTATACTCTGATACTGTTTGTAGTCAGTGATCTACAGTGACATGTATTTGGTGCTTTGTTACTGTTTTGTTGTTAGTGTGGTCCCCCTACTCTACTGTGATACTGTTTGTAATCACTGATCTACAGTGACATGTATTTGGTGCTTTGTTACTGTTTTGTTGTTAGGTTGGTCCCCTTCTCTACTGTGATACTGTTTGTATACAGTGATCTACAGTGACATGTATTTGGTGTCTTGTTACTGTTTTGTTGTTAGGTTGGTCCCCCTTCTCTACTGTGAGACTGTTTGTAGTCAGTGATCTACAGTGACATGTGTTTGGTGTTTTGTTACGGTCCCCCTACTCTCTGTGATACTGTTTGTAGTCAGTGATCTACAGTGACATGTATTTGGTGTTTTGTTTCTGTTTTGTTGTTAGTTTGGTCCCCCTACTCTCTGTGATACTGTTTGTAGTCAGTGATCTACAGTGACATGTATTTCGTGTTTTGTTTCTGTTTTGTTGTTAGGTTGGTCCCCTTCTCTACTGTGATACTGTTTGTAGTCATTGATCTACAGTGACATGTATTTGTTGCTTTGTTACTGTTTTGTTGTTAGTGTGGTCCCCCTACTCTAATGTGATACTGTTTGTAGACAGTGATCTACAGTGACATGTATTTGGTGTTTTGTTACGGTTTTGTTGTTAGTTTGGTCCCCCTTCTCTACTGTGATACTGTTTGTAGTCAGCGATCTACAGTGACATGTATTTGTTGCTTTGTTACTGTGTTGTTGTTAGGTTGGTCCCCCTTCTCTACTGTGATACTGTTTGTAGTCAGTGATCTACAGTGACATGTATTTGGGGCTTTGTTACTGTTTTGTTGTTAGTTTGGTCCCCCTACTCTACTGTGACACTGTTTGTAGACAGTGATCTACAGTGACATATATTTGGTGTTTTGTTACTGTTTTGTTGTTAGGTTGGTCCCCTTCTCTACTGTGATACTGTTTGTAGTCAGTGATCTACAGTGACATGTATTTGGTGTTTTGTTACTGTTTTGTTGTTAGTTTGGTCCCCCTTCTCTACTGTGATACTGTTTGTAGTCAGTGATCTACAGTGACATGTATTTGGTGTTTTGTTACTGTTTTGTTGTTAGTTTGGTCCCCCTTCTCTACTGTGATACTGTTTGTAGTCAGTGATCTACAGTGACATGTATTTGGTGTTTTGTTACTGTTTTGTTGTTAGTTTGGTCCCCCTTCTCTACTGTGATACTGTTTGTAGTCAGTGATCTACAGTGACATGTATTTGGTGTTTTGTTACTGTTTTGTTGTTAGTTTGGTCCCCCTTCTCTACTGTGATACTGTTTGTAGTCAGTGATCTACAGTGACATGTATTTGGTGTTTTGTTACTGTTTTGTTGTTAGTTTGGTCCCCCTTCTCTACTGTGATACTGTTTGTAGTCAGTGATCTACAGTGACATGTATTTGGTGTTTTGTTACTGTTTTGTTGTTAGTTTGGTCCCCCTTCTCTACTGTGATACTGTTTGTAGTCAGTGATCTACAGTGACATGTATTTGGTGTTTTGTTACTGTTTTGTTGTTAGTTTGGTCCCCCTTCTCTACTGTGATACTGTTTGTAGTCAGTGATCTACAGTGACATGTATTTGGTGTTTTGTTACTGTTTTGTTGTTAGTTTGGTCCCCCTTCTCTACTGTGATACTGTTTGTAGTCAGTGATCTACAGTGACATGTATTTGGTGTTTTGTTACTGTTTTGTTGTTAGTTTGGTCCCCCTTCTCTACTGTGATACTGTTTGTAGTCAGTGATCTACAGTGACATGTATTTGGTGTTTTGTTACTGTTTTGTTGTTAGTTTGGTCCCCCTTCTCTACTGTGATACTGTTTGTAGTCAGTGATCTACAGTGACATGTATTTGGTGTTTTGTTACTGTTTTGTTGTTAGTTTGGTCCCCCTTCTCTACTGTGATACTGTTTGTAGTCAGTGATCTACAGTGACATGTATTTGGTGTTTTGTTACTGTTTTGTTGTTAGTTTGGTCCCCCTTCTCTACTGTGATACTGTTTGTAGTCAGTGATCTACAGTGACATGTATTTGGTGTTTTGTTACTGTTTTGTTGTTAGTTTGGTCCCCCTTCTCTACTGTGATACTGTTTGTAGTCAGTGATCTACAGTGACATGTATTTGGTGTTTTGTTACTGTTTTGTTGTTAGTTTGGTCCCCCTTCTCTACTGTGATACTGTTTGTAGTCAGTGATCTACAGTGACATGTATTTGGTGTTTTGTTACTGTTTTGTTGTTAGTTTGGTCCCCCTTCTCTACTGTGATACTGTTTGTAGTCAGTGATCTACAGTGACATGTATTTGGTGTTTTGTTACTGTTTTGTTGTTAGTTTGGTCCCCCTTCTCTACTGTGATACTGTTTGTAGTCAGTGATCTACAGTGACATGTATTTGGTGTTTTGTTACTGTTTTGTTGTTAGTTTGGTCCCCCTTCTCTACTGTGATACTGTTTGTAGTCAGTGATCTACAGTGACATGTATTTGGTGTTTTGTTACTGTTTTGTTGTTAGTTTGGTCCCCCTTCTCTACTGTGATACTGTTTGTAGTCAGTGATCTACAGTGACATGTATTTGGTGTTTTGTTACTGTTTTGTTGTTAGTGTGGTCCCCCCTACTCTACTGTGATACTGTTTGTAGACAGTGATCTACAGTGACATGTATTTGGTGCTTTGTTACTGTTTTGTTGTTAGTGTGGTCCCCCTACTCTACTGTGATACTGTTTGTAGACAGTGATCTACAGTGACATGTATTTGGTGCTTTGTTACTGTTTTGTTGTTAGGTTGGTCCCCCTTCTCTTCTGTGATACTGTTTGTTTAGTTGATAACATACCAATCTCATAATACATATTTCTAGGTTTAAAAAAAGTATAAGTTTTGAATAAGCAAACAAGTACGTATTGGCGAAATTGATTGTATTTTTCAAGTAATTCTTAAAATAATAGGGTCGATCATTTGATGCACTACAACTATTATTACCTCCTCGTTCGGTGAGGGTGTTGATAGTGATTATCTAGCAAATATATTACCAAAGAACCGCTATTTTATGTCTTGGAACAAACTTCCGGGAACTGTTGCCTATGGTGTTAATGTTGATGTACAAGGAATCATATTTTAACAATGCAACATATGGCGTTGTTTTTAATCATTTTTCCCCGATACTTACACATTTACTTTAAACAGGTTTTTGGCATGAATTGCTCACATCTATTTATCTTGTAGGCGTCTGTCATATGAAACAACATGTATTCCATTATAAATCAAATTCTGATATTGTTTTTATTTCCGTTCGGAGATCTGTTGTAAGGAACATGTAATATATTATATTGATTACATCTATCACTGTTTCCGCCTTTAATTTAACCACCCACAAATAAAACCAGACAATTGATAATATATGTACATACTTTCCTTACGTCTTTACACTCAGTTATATTTAATGTTTCACTTTGAATAGAAGTTATGAAAATACAAGTGTTTCAAACGATAGGTGATTGGAAAGTTTAATGCCTATTTACATTCATTATATATTTTACCACATTTTAAAATAATTTGTTTGGTTTCTCCCAAATTTTATTAACACAGGTAGTGATGATATCGACCTCGTGTTCCTGGTCCACTTTTCAAACGAGCTCACTCCCGAGAACTTCGTCAAAATCACATCCTTTATGGCTAAACTGATTGACGGGGCAGATGTTGATTTAGACTCGGTCAGAGTCGGGGCGGCCATATACCGAGAGGAAGGTACGGTACTGTTTAAACTAGATGCTTACAGGGGCGATAAATCGGGTCTCCTCGAGGCAATCCGAAACATCAAGCCGGTTTATAAATCTGCTGATACAAATTTGGCCGCTGGTTTAAATCTGGTCCGAAACGAGATGTTCGACGTGAGTAAAGGTGACAGGGAGAATGTACCCAACGGCCTGGTCATCATCACCGACGCCAACTCTGAGCCGCAGTACTACCCCGAACTAGAATACTCCGCCGCACTCGTCAAAGATGCAGGGGTGACGGTATTTGGTATCGGGATCGATCTGCGCAACACTGATGAGATGAATATGGTATCTACGAGTCCACAAATGAGCTACGTCCTCGGAAATGTCGACCATCTTCCCAGCATGGTTCAGGAGTTACGACAGAAGCTGCCTTCGCGTGAGTTTCCGCAAATGGTAGAACGAACAATGTGATTCATTAATGGATAGCTGTTGTAACGTGTATTGCTCATTAGATTACAAAGTCTGTAGTTGTTACCTTTCACAAACAATCGCTAATTGCTTAACTGTTAGCTGTCATTAACTTTGAAATGCAGCAATATTAAAATGAAGAATAGCTATCATTTAGAAAGACATTGGCATATAAGTGTGATAAAATAGATATATGAAAGTACGTTAGGGATATGTTATATTACCTGACTGGCTGTTAATTCATACTTAAGTCCCGTAAATATTTTTTTAAAAAAATAGTAATTTATAGTCTTGATATAGACACATATATGAAATAATTTGAATTTTAATAATCTTTTTGAAATACTTTTAAGTGTTTACTATACAGTGTTGATTAAAGACTGAGAGTTAATTTCCTGGTCTGATTAAGAAATTATATTCTCCGTGAATACGTCGCTCTTCTGATAGAGAGTATTTTAATATCAAAGATGTCGCGAGAAATAATACGTAGCCAACATCACTAGTTCCCTGACCAATATCACTAAACTTTGATCCTTCATATGTTATCTAAAGTGCTTTACAGTAAACTTTGATCGTTCGTTTGCTTTCTAAAGTGCTGCACAGTAAACTTTAATCGTTCGTATGCTTTCTAAAGTGCTTTACAGTAAACTTTGATCGTTCGTATGTTTTCTAAAGTGCTTTACAGTAAACTTTGATCGTTCGTATGCTATCTAAAGTGTTTTACAGTAAACTTTGATAGTTCGTATGTTATCTAAAGTGCTTGAGAGTAAACTTTGATCGTTCGTATGTTATTTAAAGTGCTTTACAGTAAACTTTGATCGTTCGTTTGTTTTCTAAAGTGCTTTACAGTAAACTTTGATCCTTCGTATGTTATATAAAGTGCTTTACAGTAAACTTTGATCCTTCTTATGTTATCTAAAGTGCTTTACACTAAACTTGGATCCTTCGTATGTTATCTAAAGTGCTTTACACTAAACTTGGATCCTTCGTATGTTATCTAAAGTGCTTTACAGTAAACTTTGATCGTTCGTATGTTATTTAAAGTGCTTTACAGTAAACTTTGATCCTTCGTATGTTATCTACAGTGCTTTACAGTAAACTTTGATCCTTCGTATGTTATCTAAAGTGATTTACAGTAAACTTTGATCGTTCGTAAGTTATCTAAAGTGCTTTACAGTAAACTTTGATCCTTCGTATGTTATCTAAAGTGCTTTACACTAAACTTTGATCCTTCGTATGTTATCTAAAGTGCTTTACAGTAAACTTTGATCGTTCGTATGCTATCTAAAGTGCTTTACAGTAAGCTTTGGTCCTCCGTATGTGATCTAAAGTGCTTTACAGTAAACTTTGGACCTTCGTATGTTATCTAAAGTGCTTTACAGTAAACTTTGATCGTTCGTATGCTATCTAAAGTGCTTTACAGTAAACTTTGGTCCTCCGTATGTGATCTAAAGTGCTTTACAGTAAACTTTGGTCCTTCGTATGTTATCTAAAGTGCTTTACAGTAAACATTGATCCTTCATATGGTAGCTAAATTTAATGCGTAATTTTGTTATCTCATCTGATGTTAATTACACCTACATACGATATGTATTCATGTTTAAACAACTTGATCCCTTTTTTCAGTAACATTCGTTTTGCCTGAAGAGATCGAAACACTGCCGCCAACAACAGAAGCAACCGTTGCTCCAACTACAGGTATTTCTATTACAAAACTAGTACATGTCTATCAAGGTCTTTACTCCACTCTTTACTATGTCCGGTTTATTCGATATCCTTCGATTTAATCGATATCCTTATATTTGTAATCGATATCCTTGTTTATATAATCGATATCCTTATATATATATATAATCGATATCCTTATATATATTCGATATCCTTTTGTATAATCGATATCCTAATATATAAATATTCGATATCCTTATATATATATATTCGATAACCATATATATAATCGATATCCTTATATTTAATCGATACATTTATATTAATTCGATATCCTTTGATGTATTTGATATCCTTCGACATAATCGGTGCCCTTCTACATATTCGATATCTTTCAATATCTGTGATATTTCGATATATTGGACCATCAAGGGGCCAAGCAGAAAAAGATTCCCTTGAACATGGTCCCCGAACTTGACTTCCGATGGGATATTTTCTTCATCAAACTATCGCGCTTATTCAGATACCTGCAATTTTAATATAGAATAATCTGATAATGTACAGACGATGAGAATTAACATTAATTGGTTCAAAAAATAAGATAAATAGCAAGATAACATTTTTGGGAAACATTAATTCCGAGTTGATGCAGTTTTATTATATAATGCTAATCGCTATTTTTTGTTAGATTGTTTTTATTTTTTTTGTTTGTGTTTTACGTCCTATTACTAGTTATGTTCATTTATGGACGTGGCAGGTTCTGTTGATCGCATAGAGTGGAGTTACATGAGAAAACCGACCGACCTATCTATATAATTATATTTGTTTGTTTTCACGCAGTGCCCACTACTCCTGAGCCTACTACAACCCTGGAGAGTGAGTACTATGCAACACTGCTCGCTTGATTGTTGCAATCACTATATGTACGCAGTGTTTACTCGTCGTATACAACTCTCATCACATACTCAAATCTCATATACACACACATATTATATTGCATAAATTGAAGACATGCTATATGTACAAAAAAATATTAAAGTATGTCGTTGGCATTTGTAGCATTCTTTATCAACATATTGACTTTTTTCTAAACTTTACAACCACTTTAAAAGCAATTTAAGATAATTCAATTTAGATTGAGTTGCACAGCCAGTAATATACACAATATATTACAATTATGTATTGTTACATATTAATGAACTTGTAAGTCACTTTTTTCCAAGCTTTTGGGCTTAGCCCTTCGTCAGGGATCAGATGTCACTGGACCTCTATGTCACATCCATCTTGACAAACATGTTGAATAACTATGACGTTGATGTTGATGACGTCATAACACTGTTACCATGACGTCAACACAACACAATGACGTCATCAAACCATGACCTCACAAATTGTAAACGTCATCATCATCACTTGGTATTGATACCATTGGGGAAAGCAGTGTTGAGTTTGTTAATCCAAAATCCCTCAATCACAAGCCTTGCTACTTTGGATTCCTCCTTAACCCTTTCCAGTACGCACACCCGCAAGTCCGATATAGAATGACCTCTTCCAAGAAAGTGATGTGCCACTGGTTTATCTCTGTGCGTACTGGAAAGGGTTAAGGAGGAATCCAAAGTAGCAAGGCTTGTGATTGAGGGATTTTGGATTAACAAACTCAACACTGCTTTCCCCAATGGTAACAATACCAAGTGATGATGATGACGTCACAATTTGTAAGGTCATGGTTTGATGACGTCATTGTGTTGTGTTGACGTCATGGTAACAGTGTTATGATGTCATCAATATCAACGTCATAGTTATTCAACATGTTTGTCAAGATGGATGTGACATAGAGGTCCAGTGACATTTGATCCCTGACGAAGGGCTAAGCCCGAAAGCTTGGAAAAGAGTGACTTACAAGTTCATTAATATTATTGCGTTCCCTATAGGAACATATGTTTATAGCCAATTATTGTTACATATATATATAAGCGTATTTCATGTAAGCCAACCGATCAACAGTCTATCATTGACCTCTAATACTAATATAAGGTGACTGAGAGTAGTACTTTGTTCACATGAGTACACATGAAAGAGAAATATTTCTCTCGTGAAATTAATACTGTTTACTCAGTTTTTACACATACAAGATTTACGTATCACACAGAAAAGTAAAGTGTTTCTCTCATCACATGGTACAAGTACGTTTTGTACATAATACTTCTTTACAAATAAGTTCTTTTTAAACATAATAGAAATACGTTCTACAAATCAGTACATTTCACACATGGCAGTAAGGTTTAACACACGAAAGAAATAAGTTTTACAAACGAGAATGGTATCTAAACACTGGATAGAAATACGTTTCACATATGAGAGTAGCGTAAGTGTACACATGGGAGTAGTGTCTGTATTTGTTTATTATGCACGCTAACTCTGTCCTTCTCACCTTTTCTGTGACATGACTGTTTGCATTGTGTCTGCGGACTGTACCTGTTTTACTGACGTCATGTGTTATTATATAACGTTATTTGAGTTACAGTATGACGTCGTTTGTGTTGTTTTTGTTTGACGTCATATATAATAGCTATGTAAGTCTGTCTTGTGTCTTTTATTCCTACTAACCAAGCAAACAAATGGATAGCAATAATAGCATAAAATTAGTTGAAAACGCAATTAAATAATTTGGTAATGTGATTCAATATATGTAAAACGCGGTTATATAACATTTTCCTATTTTTTTGTTCTTTGATATTTACACAAACTTTTTATTTTATTTCCAATCAATTAAAAAACAGATTAAAATAGATTTCGATATTTTATAATGAAATAAGATATTGCAAATACTAATTTAAAGTATGTAAATCCTGATATGTGAAATAAATTCCAAATTTAAAGAAAACATATCCCTTCATATGAAGGAAACATTTTCCTCGTTGATATGTCTTCAAATACTTTTGCAAAATTTCTTCAATTACTATCCCATGTACAGCAAATTACAATCCTTCTTATCAGATCTACGCACTTAACGCAGAAACGTCACATGTGCATTTCAATTAATAGTTTATCCGTCAGACATATATTAAACGCTTGTTAAGTGTTATTGCTTTTCAAACTACTTGGTTTCTGAGTGGCTTCATTACAAAGCAAATTTCTGTTTCGAATCACGTCGCTTTTCTAATTTATCGTGTTCATGTTGCTTGGTGTCCCAAACTGAATGCAATGTTAAAATCTGCGTTATTTATTTTTGTTATCTTTTATTTAGAATTTATAAGATGATGATTAATATTCATACTTGCTAGTTTATTTTTTAAGTATAATTGTGTAAAAGTGAGCTATTACGACGGAATACAATCTAATCCTCGCACCTTGTTCCAGATGCACCCTGTCATATACTTAATTGATATGTTTCTTTTCATCTCTATTCTGTGATATCTATTTCTTGAATGGTATCATATAATTTCCGTCTCAAATGCACAACAGCTCAACATTTTGCATGGTTAAATCAACGATAATAAACAAAGTTTGGGAACGAAACGCTTGCAAGTGTTATTGTGTTTTCAACACTCAAGTTTCCATTTGCATTAAAGGGAGAAGGAAGTCCCGCGAGAGGTTAGCGAGAAGTGAATATTACATTCTCGCACTGTTAACATGTCAAGTATTTTCAGTCCTAGTAATAAACGTGAAAATACAAAAACGCCAAGTATATATTATCATTCTGTCGATTTGAACACCTCATTATCGCAATTTCGTTTAAATCGCGAAAGAGAAACATACGACATAGATAGTTTATCTATTTGAAACCTGAAAAACAGAGTATTAAGGTATTTACACGCATCACAAAATAACGAAGTATAGAAATCTATTTGAGGTAAATAACATCAGTTATGAATGTGTTAAAATGAGCCACAAAGTTTCAAAATGCGTATAAAATGAAAGGATATCCATCTTCCGTTGAGAATGTTTGGTTGTTTTACTTACGAAACCGCTTCATTTCGAACCGCTTCAGTAACCAGGACAACCTGACAACTTCCTTCTTTCTTGCCAATTGTATTATATAACGTTCTTTTCCACCTATTAACATCCACCAATCATAGCAGAGTCCTGTTCTGTTATGGGGAATGTTTTGCATCAGAGCATGGAACTCTCTAGCCATAGACACGCCCATCACCTTAAGGCACGCCCACCATCTTTGAGTGACGTACCGAATGTTGCGACAGTCGCGCGGTATAGGTAAGACTCGCACCCATACACGTCCACACGTTTTGCTATCCGCTTAGTGTGGACAGTGCTTTGGCGTTCAGCGTCATGCTTACGTTTGAATTTCATCTTATTCGATCCTGACTTTTATTTCAAATTGTTATCGAATTATCAAATAAGATTACAATGATATACATTGCCAATGATGATAATTTATAACAGATCTACATTAACTTGCGCATAACAGACATTGAGTTGTGTAACTAGCATGTTAGTTAAGCAGCGATCTATAATAATGTTTTGTTTTAATTACAGGTAGTCGTGAGGCAGATATTGCTGTTCTATTTCATGTGGGACATAAAACCAAACTAAGAGATATGAACAAAAAGCTGAAAATTTACCTGTCTAATCTATTTGCGAAAGCAAAAGTTGGCCCAGATATGCTTCGCGTAGCACTGGTAAATTATGGTACCGCAACCAACGTGTTGTTTGATTTTAATGCCCATAGTAGAAAACCGCAGGTACGAAGTGCAATCAAAACAACAATTAAAGGTAATTTGCGAAAAAGCCGAGCGAATTTAGGAGAAGCACTGAACAAAATCAGAACGGAATTATTTGTACAACGCGCTGGCTCCCGGATAGATGACGGAGTTCCAGCCGGGCTCATTGTAGTTACAGATATGGTGTCATCAGATGATGGATTTGACTTCGAACAGGAAATGACGTCACTAAAACAGATGGGTGTGACGGTGTTTGGAGTTGGAGTTGGGTCAAGCGACGTTCATGACGAGTTACGGCAGTTGACGTCAGATCCGGCAAGCGATTATTTTCAAGCCATTCCGACATTAAGCGATCTACTAGCGAGTGCTGCACCGGTTAAAAACATAATCAGTCGTGTGAAAGCTAGTAAGTAATGCTATAATTGATCTTACACCTGCACAATCGCGTGGAATCCGTCGGACAATATGTTCACAAGGTAGTGAATAAGCAGTAGAATAGGAGACACTTATGTGATACTATTGGGAAAGAAACCAATGCAGATTATTAAGGTAACGGGGTTGTTCTGAAGGTAATATGATAAGGCCGGAGGCAAGCAACTAAGATAAAGTAAGTTCTTTTAAAGTAATAGACGAAGAGTGAAGTAAAGCAGTGGAGGTACTGCGGTACAGTTACTATAGCGTTAGACGATATACCGTAGAAAGGAAGAGGCTCGTTAAATAATTTGACTTTTTCATTAGAACAAAAATAAAATTTGAAATGTAAAGGGATGAGGTTCGTCAGGCTACGGGACTCTTTCTTTAGTATTCAAATACTTTATAACATTGTGTTAGGGGCGAAAGTTTTAAAGGGCGTTTTTTTGGTTAATACTGTTTGACATATGAAAATAAATTATAACGTATCATTATCAAGTGTAGGAAAGAAAAGGGGGCGTTAGGTGATTGATATTTTATATGGTAACTGGACGTTTGGCAATTTGTAAAGGAGGAGGGGGTAAATGATCATTAATCTAATAAAGATACGGGACAAATTTCTCTTTTGGAAAGTGATCATTCATATTATTCATATAATAATGGGACTATTGCTTTTGCCAATTTTGGACAATGAAGGGTATATTAAAATGATTATTAATACATTAACTGGACGTATGAATGATTTGAACAATGATTATTCATAAAGTAACGAGACGTTGATATGTGTGATGTTGAATTTGGTGGGGTCGGATTGGTAATGTGACAGAAAGTTTTGTTGTTAAAGAAAAGTAACTAGACTAACTGGAAGTTTTATAATTTTGTGAAGTGAAAATGTGTTTGGTTAAATGATTTTTCATATGGAAGGCTGCTGTTTGGTAATGATGGAAAAGCAATGGGTGTTTGGTCAAGTGATACTTGATGGATGACGAAGAAAAAGGGGTATCAAATAAATAATAGTTTGTATCGTTATAGTGACATTGTTTTAATGCTGGGATGGGTTTAGTGAAGCTATATTATATATCATGTTGGGAATAACGATTAGGTTATTAACGCTAGGAAGGTGGTAGGTACGTCTATCATTAAACACGAGACGGAGATATCAGGACACTGTGAAACAATTTTGATGAACAATTCTCTGATAAATTGATAATATCTTAAACACCATTGTTCAAGTTAAAATTCGTCAGTTGAAGGTAGAATACTACCATCAAGGGCAGTGAGACAGTACATAAATATCGGGTTTATATATTGAGGTGAAGTAAGAATATAAGAAGACGTTTTGAACCCAAAATGATAACTAAATAATACGTTGTGAATAGTGGGAGGATTGATCAAACGCCGACCAACAACACCGGCTCCTAGTCTAAGCAGTAAGTAAAACCCGGCATGCGTAGCGTTGCTGACACCACACACTGTTGCATGCACGTCACTTTCTCCCAATTGTACCATGTGTTTATTTGATAAATTTGTTCGTTTTTTTATGTTTTGTTGACATTAGTTTATGTTATATATGTTTGTGTTATGAATCAATTATAATTGCTCACCTTCCCAAAGTCAAAAGTTTGAACGGATGCATGACAATATTTAATTTGCACGATGCCAGTTACTGTAGTAATCCGATTTTTGTTTCTTTTCCGAGTTACCAAAAAACAACATTCATTTAATTTAAACCTGTTTATTTTCGTCTTGCCAATTTTTCGTCTTCACGTCTACAAACAAATATTATATTCGCTGAAGTACACTTACGATATACATCTTTCGATCTATTCTTAGCTGTTATTAAGGGCAAAAAAACCACGAAAATATATGGGGAGTTCTTGTTTTACAATAACTATTGGATGCAAAGATGAATTAATTCAAGATTGAAGCCCTTGATTGTAGCAAGTTTGTGCTTTTTATCACTTTTGTTTATCACGAATGTTAAACTGTTTAGTCGTAATATCTTATTTTTAGTTTTCATTTTATTTTTGAAATTATGATTGATATATCTGCTCTTTATGTTGCTATGTGCGACTTTATAGTCGTGTCGGGCTACTATCCTACATAAGGTTACAATCCGTTATCACGTTACTTAGTCATATCACGTTGTTAACCATCGTACCGCCAATATTCCGTCTTTTAATTTCTCAGTAGCTAAGGAAATTATACACGTTAATGTTGCTTTTGTCATTATGTTTTATATTTCTTTAACAATGTTTTGGCAAAAAAGGAATCATTTTACAACGGATTCATGCTTATGTTTATTGTGTGCTGTAAAAAGTTATTTTACATTAATATCAAGTACATAGGCATGATCAATGTTGCATGAACCAAATCAAACCAATGGAATGATTTAGGTTAAAACATGGAGACATAATGCTGATTTTATTTCAGAGTATAGAACAATACAAATTGCCCTAGTTTTCCGTTCCGGATTTGAAACCTCTCCTCGTGATTATTTTACACACCTGTTGCCATTCATGGCGAGATTTCTGGACGATAAATTAATTCAGGGAACCAATATGGAAATTGCTTTTATAAACTATGGTGCTACTGTACATCAACTGTTTGGGTTCAAACAATTCACTAGCTTGAATGAAATGCAGACGATGATATTGACAGCCCCCAATAAGCTGCAGTCTACGTTTGCGAGGTTTGGAGACGTTCTGCAGCACCTTGACTTGGAAGTATTTAATCGCATGCCAATGCCATTGGATACCTCAAAGCATGTCGTATTTGTTACTGACAAAGTCTACGATCAGATGAATTTAAAAGTGAAGAATGGATTAGTTAGATTAAGGAGGAAAGGAATAAAGTATCACTGGGTATTGATTGGTCGGCAGAGTAACATAAGTACTGCTGGTGATACCTACCTTGTACAAGACTATCCAAGTCTCACTAACAACTATGATGTCATTGATGACATCACAACAAATATTGCTTTTGGTAAGTATAGATTTGTTTTCTTAGTCAATTTAATTAAGTAATGAATATTCATTTCTTTTCTTTTTTTGTAAGGAGGAATTTGCAACCTGGAAGTGAAAATTTATATTTAAGATAGTGGGTTTAGGATTAACCTTCCAATAAATATTTGTGTGTAGAAGTTTACAATAATATGGACTGTTATGTCAACATCTTTTTAATAGAAATGTTTTAGCATTGCCTTTTATATCAAAGATGTGTACATTTCCAGATGAAAGCGAGTACTCGGAAGCGTTAGTTCCGAAGACGGCATCGCTACCCAGTGTTCCAGGAGAAATACAAAGTAGGTCACTCTTTTGTGTCCAATTCTTTTGGCACATTTTTATATATAAATATAAGATTCGACTTTGCTGATGGAAAAAGTCTCCTTGTGATCTTTAGAATCATTAAATATTCTAGACGGTAAATTCCGTTGTCCCGTATCATACAGTAATTGTATTTATCACATACCTGACCCATTTTACTATGCCATACGGCCTGTCATAAATATAGTAGTACACATGTGTAAAAACCTAAAGGTGCTGTGATTGGTCAAGTTTTTTTCTGATAAAGTTTAATGATTTTGCTATTAGTGAATTTGAAATGTTTCTTTTGTCATTAGCGTTTTCATTGCATTTAAAACTGTTCATTATTAAAAAACAACACTTTAACTACTTTGCACTGCGCGGAAAGACAATAGTATGGTCGGAGTACTTTGATTTTGACCTTTAATGAGTCAGCTGATGACACATAATTGTGTTTGAGTTACTTTTAAGATTATGAATGTTATGTGATAAATAGAATATTACATTCCTGTTCATGTCATATTGCATTTTTTAAACTGGTTCAATTATTTGGTATGACACTCGTCTAAAGGCTCGTTTCATATGAAATTATTGAACTCGTTAAATAAAATCAATATAGCATGGCACGAATGTAAGATCCTCTATGTCTCAAAGTCAATCAAACAAGTCCGTTACAAGATCAACGAATTAACCAAACATTACAATGAGAGTGATCTTTCGGAAAGGGAGGGTAAAATGGGAGGATACAGTTAATGCAGATACATTTTCGGAAGGTAACGCGTAAATATAAAAGTTTGATGTTCATGAACAAAATATCAAAAACAAATACTAATATGAGCTATACCTGATATGTCTTTTTTATTAACAGACTCGACACCGACGAAAATCATCATAGCTTTTCGTTCTGGAAGCTCCACATCACCACCTGAATTCCTAACAAAACTGCTGCCTTTCATCAATTCATTTATTGACCGGAATATTTTATCCGAAACTAAAACAGACATCGCTATTGTCAACTACGGCAAGACAGTTCAACTGGTCTACGGATTCCAACAGTTAAGTTTCGATGAGATGAAGGACGCTGTGAGTGGTATATCGAAGAAGTATCGGAGTAGATTCTCTCGGTTTCCGTTAGTCATCGATTACATTAACCAGGAGTTGTTTGTTCCACCAGCAGTAGCAGACACAGACGACCGCCACGTCGTGTTTATCGCTGATCAGTTGTACGAGAAGCTAGATTCTGGGATCAGGAAGGGCATAGAACATTTGGAGACTAGAGGTATCAACACGCACTGGATTCTTATTGGAGATAATAGTGCTATACCTACGACAAGCGCAGCTTATAAAGTGGCCGATTATGATGAATTACTTCAACGTCAGGATATTTCCGCTCAGATACTTTTTGCCATTACACAAGGTAAGTTGGTCCTGAAGCTTTATGCAAACAATTGTCACCATAACTTTAATGCACTTTTACTCATTCACCCCTGAAAACACATATGAGCTATTCCAACTCAAAGGTTGAAATAGTTCATTATGAAATTTCAGGGTTGAATGGGGTAAAACAGAGAGTCACTTCATACATGTCATCTTGTAGCAGAAGTGGCTTCTTGAGCATGTTTGGCTGTATCAAAGAATTACTGGCAAACACAGAAGCATTCATCAGAACATTCTGTAAAATTTAATTCCTAAATATGTTTTCGTAGTTGATAATTAAGTTATATATTGGTTTGCTAAACCTTAAATGCTATATTATAATGCTGACAATATTTCCACCACACAATCCAGTACTGTTAACGTAACTCGTGACTGTGGACGTGATTTACTGTTGTCAGAATATTTCCGAGGTTAAATGTTCTATCGATTTTAACAAATGTTATATATGGAAGGCCGGTAAAGCTATCGTTCCATTTCAATTATACTTACAACTGGAGTACACTAACAACTATAGATGTTTAGGTTGAGCGTATTATTGACAGTTAAGGTCATTTCAGGACACGTATTCGTGTCGTAATATAATATTAATCAAAAAACAAGTCGGGGATTGAACACCTTAAAACATATCTATTACTGAATTCAAGCCATCGATATACTATCTGTAATTTTTTTTTTATTTATTTATTTTTTTAATAATCTGGTAAAATCCTTATCTAATTCGTTCCAAGTTTCCTGGGCTGTCGAACACGTCGTTATTTTTTTGTATAATCTTATACATCTTACATTTGTGCAGGAAGGATTTTTGAAAAAGATGTCAATGAGATCCCGATGATACCGGAAGTGACGACCTCATCACGAGATTTCGATCCCGGTAAGCGCTACGTCATATGCACGGGAATATTCGTGATTGCACATAACTGTTTGAGCACAGAATAGTATAATACACACATCCTGTTCATTAAACATTCACTACAGAATAGACACTTACCTACGCACAGGATATTTGTATGGGTGTGTTTATTTGTTTTACCCTGAGCTTAATACATTGTATGTACACATAGTATACATATCAAATTTTAACTTCAACTGATTAGTATCGTAAATGCTACTTAGTTCAACAATCGAAAATAATAGTAACGACAGCTAAGTAAAATAAAGTAAGATAGGTGACATCAGAGGTAAAGGTGATACTGATGTCCTTGCATTCATTTAAGTATTCATTCATTTGATAAAATAACAAATTAGATACAGCGTATCATCTATTGCAGACAATGTGTTTGTAGATAACACTGAAAGACATGCCAATGAGATACCGACTGTTCCTATGGTGGATCGTAATATTGAATCCACATCAGGTAAATGGGACTTTCTATAACATGACCTTTATCAACCAATACCAATATGTTACAAACATTAATGAAGAGTAATTGGCAAGGGAACAAATGTAGCAGTGACATATATTAAAAGTGTAATTTATAATTGTTGTAATTTTCCTACATTATATGGTGATAGTATACGCATTGACTTTAAAAGTGTTTCTTTGCCATCAAATGGATAAGTATGTGGCACAAAAATCGAGTCTAAATGTTCCGGGTTTTAATATAAATATATACACGAGCAATCCTTTTTTTTCATAATACACGATTTTATACACGGGAAAAGAAACGAAAATTAGAACACAAAACAAACGAACAAATTAATAATATAAATATACAAACAAACAAATAATCAAAGGCAAAATCGAAATCTCTGACATTTCTAAAAAAATACGTTAAGTTATTCTTTCAAACATCTTTTTCTTTCAGGTGAACGAAACGTCAAAGTTGTGATAGTTTTCCGTACAGGAAGTGGAACTTCTCCACGAGACTTTTACCGCCATCTCTTACCTTTCATCGACAGCTTCCTGTTTGAAAGCTCGGCGATGCCAGAGGTTCACATGGAGTTCTCCGTCATTAATTACGGGAAAACTGTCACACAGATCATTGGATTTACGGAGTATTCATTGGAGGAGCTGCACGGTATCATTCTTGGCATTTCAAAGAAATACAGGTCTAGATTTGCCAAATTCCAAAACCTTCTTGAATATTTAAAACAATCTGTGTTTACACCGCATAATGTGTCGCCTGATGATGAAAAACATTTGATATTGATAACTGATAAGATATTTGACAGACTTGACGATATTATTGAGACAGGGATAAATGACCTGGAGATGAGTGGGGTCATGACCCACTGGGTTACCATAGGAACACATCAAACAGTACCAACCAAAGGGCACGTGTACACAACACAGAGCTATAGCGGTCTATCTGATTACGATGTATTTGCAGCCAATTTTAAGATACTGGCCGACATATTTGCAGGTAATTATTTGATTAATTGTGTATATATAGGGCGAACACGATTATTTCTGTATTTCTCCATATTTTACCAAATTCTCGCTCTTCTGCCTATAATAAAACACACTGTACTATTTTGTTTTATTCGCTTATGTATACGAACTGTTATTTTTCAGTTTTTGTATAAAAAATTTCACTAAGGTTTAAGTTACACTCTCGTTCAAGATCAAAAATATTCTACTTTAAGTCGTCACACAAAAAAAAATCATAGTTAATTAATAAACATGTCTTTATAAAAAAATAACTAAATTTTGCATTTTAACATGGCATTAAAATTCCAACAAAGAACCAATTATCAATATTTAAAGCGAAAATGGTAACAGTGTACTCAAAAGGAACCACTGCCATAATTGCATATATATAAATATAAACAAATGGCCATAAAATTCTCACAGATTATAACTAGTAAAGCAATGTGACTCCACCGTTAAACCGGACTTATGCTTCTTATTTCCTTTAAAAACATAACCATAAAATATCGTAAGTTTATACTGGTCTTATAGTCTTTTTGGAGATAGGTGTACGTCGTTCCATTTCCATTAATATCACTGACAATACCGCAGTTCATGGGCTTATAGTAGGCTCCTCATTACGACGACTTAGGATTTCTGTAATCGTTGTGTTTACGTTAACCCTTTCACCTCCGTAGACCATAATGGACTCGCCCCATTAAATGCATGGTAGAGTTTATTAAAGTTACATAGGGGTGAAAGGGTAAATTATTTCAGTTTTTACTTCACAATACCAAATTATTTTTAAATATCATTTTACAGAACCAGGATCAAGAGAGCGTGCTGTTTCCTCGACAATGTCAACTCTGCCTACGACTTTGCCCACAGTGACAACAAAAGGTAGTGAGAACTCAGACCTATTATACTTCTAGAAATCATGGTCGCATTTTCTTTGTACTTTGTCATAGTTTCCATGACAATCTTTCTTTTGTTCATATTTTGCCCGAGTTTTATCGCTCGAATTACAAATGTGTTGATACATTGATATTCCCTTTTTCAACTTCCTTATTTGGGGTACAGTCTTATGTTTTGATTTTAGGGACGTATTAATCGAACGTCTTGTAACATATCTATAGTTAGTTGCTTTCATTTCAATTAAATACAAAAAATGTTACAGTATACGTATAAGATTGATCAGTTTCCTTTTACTGTTTGCTTTATTGTGATATTGCAGTTAAGCAAAAGAAATATGTCAATTAACAGCCGTTTTTAGTGGTGTCTTTTTATACAATCATTTACCATAGGTACCGGCCAGATCTTCTGTGGCAAGATGATGAAATAAAAACACAGTAAAAGAATAACAGTGTTATCAAGTATCAATAAATACCTCATGACGAAATGTACTTTTTCTTCCATTGGCAGAAATAAGGAACGCCAAGATCGTCATTGTGTTCCGAACAGGAAGTTCTACCTCTCCCCAGGACTACTTCCAACACCTACTGCCGTTCATTGATACGTTCGTAAACAACGTGTACACAGACCAGGTCGAAGCGAAATATTCCGTCATTAATTACGGTAAAAGTGTGTCGCAAATATTTGGATTTAAAGACTTTGATGCATCAGAATTACAATCCATCATACTAGGCATGTCAAAGAAATACCGCACAAAATTTTCCAGATTCCAGCAGCTGTTACAGTTTTTACGACAATCTGTGTTCATACCGACACAAATGTCTGATACGGATGAAAAGCATGTGATTTTCGTAACGGATAAGATATACGACAAGATGGATGATGGACTATTACATGAACTTCGTGGCCTTGAGGATAGAGGCGTGACTACACACTGGGTGCTAATTGGCCAGGCTCAGGATATTCCTACGCGGGGGAAGCTGTATCATATACGAGACTACCCGGAATTGTCAGACAGAACTGACATCCCTGTGCCCTACAAAATCCTCACTGAAATACAGTACAATAGTAAGTTCGTACTCCTTTAATACATTTTTTTTCACTTTACCATAGTTGTATTATAAAACTTCCCGGCTCAAACGTTCATAACGCCTCTGGTACAATTAAAGATATATAATACATTTAGTGTGTACTACTATGTTATACATATCGTGCGAGAAAGACCTAATATTCTATGTTTTCGAAATCAAGAGGATGTTGACCACTCTCTGGAGAAGTAATAACGGATGAACGTGCATGGGTTGATGTTCCTATTGTTTGCATGTAATTAGTAAAGCGGCCAATCGTTTTGTGTTCACCAATGTAAATATGTAACCTGTCACGTGTTCATTGACAGGACAAACAACACCTCGTGCTGTTATTAAAAGTACAACAACAACAACAACTACAACAACGGAATCCCCACTTACAGGTGGAACGTCGAATAGATCGGATATAGGTAAGGTTTACTGTTATCCCAATCTTAACTTACCAAGGAGACACTGAATTTGGTCGCTAGGTGGCAGTGTTAGTAAATACCTGACACACCACTGTAAAACAATACACAGGAGTTTCAACTAGGGTTTTTCAAAAACATACAATTTATCAGCGAAATATATTCTAATAATGTCGTCAGATTAAACTTGTCTTAAGTTAGACTTACTTAAAAGATGGTAAAATATAAACAAGATATAACTTAATCAAGTGCTTCCTTAAGATATTTTTAGAAATGAAAATAAAGTGTTCATCTTGATTATTCTGTCTTTTCAGTATGAAAATAAATATGTAGATATTGTAATATTTACATATTTTAACGTAAACATTAATTTGAATATATTAAGAATAATGCTAAACTATCGTTTACAACCTAGTTGATTTCAAAAGTAAGAGATTATAAAAATGGTATGTTGCATGGGTAGTTATAGATATGGACCATCCTTTATTGTTGCTTCAAAGAGATGTGTAGATAAAATCATAAGTTGTCAAGATGTTTACAGAAAAATAGAATGTAAGATTGGTGGTTACTGGAATCTCTGTTTTTGTTTCACAGATCCATCAATGGCTGATATTGCTTTCCTGTTCCATGCATCAAAAACACTATCAAAGAAAGCTTTCAAGAAAGGATATATCAAGTTTTTAATACGAATGATTAAAAAGTGTAAGCTGGACAACGGTAAGGTGAAAGCAGCGCTAGCCACATACGGCAAGGAAGGACAACTCTTGTTTAATCTCAATACCTTCTCACAGAAGAAAAGTGCGATTAAGTTCATAAAGAAACTGCCAAAGAATTTGCGTTTTAAAAAGTCAGATTTGGCAAAAGGATTACGTCTTGTAAGGGAGGAGATATTTGTTGACCCATTTGATAGACCACGAGCTCCTAACTACTTAGTTGTGGTGACTGACAGTCCGTCTGACGATGGTTTATCTGAAGTTATGGCAGAAGCAGAACTACTGAAGGACATGGGTGTGTATGTTTATATGATAGGAATAGGAGATATTGGGGAGGAAATGGTCATTGTACCTAGTGAACCTTCAGCAGAAAATTCTAAACAACTCTCAGTCTATACGGATTTAGCCAAATTCAAGAAATCAGGAAAACCTATTATGAAGAAGATACCTGCACGTGAGTACTAATTGTATTGTTTATGTGATCACTTAATGAATATCGGATTGTTCAACAGTTGTTACACACTCACGTTTTTGGCTTTCCGTATCAACACACTAATGTTCGAGACCGACGTTTTCTTTATTCGTACTTCTAATTAATAGTTGGCGTATTTTTGAATATTTGCAGAAGCAGACATCAAGCCATTTTTAAAATGGATATTTAATTAATTATTCGCGGGATATTTATTAATCTGTAGCTACTTAAATGCATTCACGCGTAAAAAACACCGAATACAAATGACAAAGGAATGCTTTTATCGATTCATAGATTATATGTTTAATTACTACTTTTGATAATGCCTGCCCACACTCTTACATTCTCTGTCGTAATTACCTACGGTGGTGTGTGGTAGAAACCCGCTTGTATTATATAGAAATGATGAATGTATCTTTCCTTTTCGGGACAGTTTTGTGCCACATCAAACCCAGTTAATATCGGTTACAACAGCATCAACATTGATGTCTTAAGACTGTAACTTTTACAAACGGTAATATCGCTTGTAAGCATAACTTATTGACGCCTGTAGTATATAAGGTTCTTATTCATTTTATTCAGAACTACCGCTCTTTAGTTGATAGTTCTAATTAAAAGTTCACGTCAATTTCATCAACGGCGGTGTTGGAGATATCTCGTTTTGATTGGATATGAGCAGAGTTTAAAACAAAGTAGCAAATGAAACTGTTACTATTTTTATATAATCACGAAGGAACCCGACCACTTGAAAATACAGAATGTTTACAAATATCGTCTTTCTTCGATTTCAGTAAAACGTAAAGGCAAGAAAACCGGAAAAAAGAAACCGAAGACGACAACAATGATAGGATTAACGACAATACCAACAACAACGAGTGGTGGCGGAATGTCAACTCAACAGTCTACAAATTCAAGCACACTTGCTTCTACTGATATTCGTTTGACGTCAACACTGATGACATCAGTCAGACTGAGCAGCAGACCTTCTACAGCTAGTACTGGTGAGGATACTACGGGAACTATAACAGCTGTTTTCAGTAGAGCATCAACGGATCTGTCAACAGCTAGACCGACACGTACCACTGACGGGGTCATAATGACGTCATTATCGGAGCAAGAAACAACGGAAACATTACTGTCAACAGATAGATCAGCACGTACCACAGAGAGGGCCATAATGACGTCATCATCGGATGTAGGCATAAGTACGATGCTGTCGTCCAAATTTGAAGAAAGGGATTCTACAGATGGACATGTATTTGATAGGACCGATCGCGTTGCGACATCAACTGCAAGGGGATTTACTCCTACAGGGATACATACAAGCACAGAAACGGTTACAAGGCGTACCGACAACACGCGAACCCAGAGCACTAGCAATATGCTGACTTCAAAATCGGTTTCACAGGAGGACATGTTGACCTCTAAGGTCACTACAACATCCACATCAGTCCTAAGTACAAAACAGGCGCTGCGAACAACTAGTAGTCCATCTGTGGAAAGTACAGAAGAACTATGGACAAAAACAACAAAGTACCCGAGAGCGCCATGGACAACGCAGGTACCAACAGGAAGGTCAGAGGTTCCGTTAGCCTCGACTAGGTTTAGTTCAGCGTCCTTACCTGAACGAGTTACACTCACTGGCGAAACAAATGCAGCTGTAGTTATTACGACGCCAAGGAGTGCACAAAGCTCACACGTGACAAGGGATTATTCTACTGAAACTAATACCCATAAATCAACTGACAGACTCGAGGAAGTGGAAACAACTGAATTAATAAGAACAGCAGATGACAAACAAGGGGAGACAACAGAGTCTACAACGTTAAGAGATGAACAGAAAGTTCCTTCTTCAACAGAAAAGCAACATAGAACGTCGACAACTAGAACAGAGACAGACGTTATATCTACGCGTGACGATATTATCGAGGAATTTACAGTCACTACAGACTTGGAATATGAAGAGTCCGTTACAACTTCTTCATCAAGATACACGGACGACATTACACCCGTGGTAAACAAAGTGTCAACAGAAGCTGTCGGTATGTGGTGTCACTTTGAGTGTGGAATGGATGCATGATCCCACAATATAGACAAAACCAGTATACATACTGTTTCCAGGAAACTATCCCTGATATGAACATTGACCAATCTATAGTCAATTTGAACAGTGCAATGTTAGACATTTTTCAATTAGAGCATTTACTCGTATTGAAAGTGTGAAAATATGTATCTTGTATAGAACGGTCGCTTGGTATGGACATTTCGTATACTTATCTAGCATTCCATGCAATGAACAAATCTAGCTTCATTTCCATTTACATTATAAAATCATTTAGCTTTCCATGCAATGAAATCATTATAGCTTCATTTCCATCTCTATTATATACATTTAATTACGAAATTATGTTTAGTATGGCAAATTTTGTTGTGATGATTCAATCTTTGGCATGCGATGTTCGAATATCTTACAATAATTACTTTTAAACAAAAATATATACTCATATGCTAAACATTCTTTCGTAATTCTTTGCTATGGTTTGTGTACAAATGCATTACTGAAACCCGCTTGAATGAAATATCTTAGATTTATTTCAGAAATTAATGATTTTAAAATGCTTTTATAAAATCTGCAACATTCAATACAAATAGGAACTATTGGTTTGCTATGTTGAATGTAACATGCATAATGATGAATTTGTTTTCAGATTTTTATTTCTTTGAATTGAATTCAGTGATGACTGAATTTGGAGTTCACGACGTATATTGGTATTTTAGGATGTTGTATTTTTATTGATAAAAATAGCACGTGAGTACATTTCTTATATATTTATTTTGTTTTAATTTAAGACTTATATCATAAATGAACTTTGTTTTAGTGCGTTCATTTGTATTTGTGTTAAACTATTTGTTTATAAGAGAAGGTATATGTGCTGGTTAATTTCTAAATTACATATTTCTTTACTGTCTTTATTTCGTTATTCTGTGTTCCTGTTTGTCGCTTCCTATTGTGCTGCTTGTAAATGTATTAATGTTCGCCTGTGCACCATGTTTGTCCCTCTGCCTGCATGTCAAATGTTGCAATATTTCAACATTCATGGTTAATATGAGTTCTTTTTTAGGTATCCAGTATATTACTTCAGAAAAAAATAATTCAATTTCGATAAAAACGAAAAAATACTTTCCGACCATGAAAATTATATGAATGAGTTACTTTCAAAATGAAAAAAGTACCATTACTAATAGGACAATTATCGAATATGAAAATTCACTTCTGATAAATATGTGTACATATTACTTTCGCTCCTCATATATATAATTATCGTTTTTGTTCTTGTTTTTTTGTGTTCAGCCAAACGACTTTGATATTATAATGAGTATTTTGTGTCTGAATGATTATACTGATAAAGTAAGTTAAATATCTATTTATTTTGTTGTCTCTATATAACATGTCGATTGATTTCAAATTCCTTTCACTTGATATGAATAATTTAATTTACAGCAAATAAAACTATGTTGATACTTCCTATTGATTACGCTAAATTATAATGAAGAAAAATGACACTATAATCCATAATCATTTGATATTTCCCTTCTTCTTTTTGTGTGTGCTTTTTTCTGAATCACGTAAAACTTACATTACGTCCATTCTTATCTTTGCTAGCTACTGTAGCGCCGATATCCCTTGCAGGTGCGTTGACTATATGGATGACTATTCAGTGTAACTGTTTCAATATCATAGTGTTTGTATCCAATCAAATTTTAATGCTTTACATTATTTGAATAAGATGTCTTCATTAAAGCATATGTTTCTCACATGTGCGTATATTGTTAGAAAATATGATCATTTTTTTTATCGAATCTAAAATATCATAAATCATTGTTCAAGTGAATTTAAACATATGTTGAAAATCACATTTTGTATATCATATATATCATTATATATGCTTGGTTACAGCAAGTGAAGAGGCCGACATCATTATCGCTGTTCACTCGTCCATTACTGCAACTCGAGGCCATTTTGTCATTTTGCTCGAGTTTCTGGCTGAACTGTATGAGCAGGCTGACATAGACGGTGGCCGCGTACAAGCCGGAGTTATGTTCTATGGAGCTGCGTCCAACCCTATCTTCTACCTTGACCAGTAAGTGTTCTCAATCTGTCGGTAATATATCTGCTTTTCCTGTGTATGACCAACATTCCGAGGCGTTCCAAGACATGTATGAGTTAGCAACTAGCACGAACATGATTTATGGCATTTAATGTATTTTTTTTTTTTTTTTTTTATATATATTCATTTAATAACCCAGGCATGCATACATCATTCGTGGGTTGTCTGGGGATGAAATGCCCCAGCTACGACCCACGATACATGAAAAACTCTTTATTTTCTTTCTTCACAAATCAACACTTGTTTATTTCTTTCTCTCTCACTTTTTCACACTTTCATACAGTGATTTCTTAATTTTTACCCCACATTTTTACACTCTCGAATGATGTTTTAAAATTATTATGTAGGAATACAAACAAAAGTACTTATTATTGTTAGCTAGTAGTGTAAACGTACAGCAAAAGTATCGATAATGAACTACAGACGAGGATTGATTATGTGCAACTACAGACGAGGATTGATTATATATAACTACAGACGAGGATTGATTAGGTATAACTACAGACGAGGACTGATTATGTGTAACTACAGACGAGGATTGATTATGTGAAACTACAGACGAGGATTGATTATGTATAACTACAGACGACGATTGATTAGGTATAACTACAGACGAGGATTGATTATATATAACTACAGACGAGGATTGATTAGGTATAACTACAGACGAGGATTGATTAGATATAACTACAGACGAGTATTGATTATGTATAACTACAGACGGGGATTGATTATATATAACTACAGACGAGGATTGATCAGGTATAACTACAGACAAGGATTGATTAGGTATAGCTACAGACGAGGATTGATTATGTGTAATTACAGACGAGGATTGATTATGTATAACTACAGACAAGGATTGATTATATATAACTACAGACGAAGACGAGGATTGATTATATATAACTACAGACGAAGACGAGGATTGATTATATATAACTACAGACGAGGATTGATTATGTGTAACTACAGACGAGGATTGATTATATATAACTACAGACGAAGACGAGGATTGATTATATATAACTACAGACGAGTATTGATTATATATAACTACAGACGAGGATTGATTATGTGTAACTACAGACGAGGATTGATCAGGTATAACTACAGACGAGGATTGATCAGGTATAACTACAGACGAGGATTGATTAGGTATAACTACAGACGAGGATTGAGTATGTGTAACTACAGATGAGGATTGATTATGTGTAACTACAAATGAGGATTGATTATGTATAACTACAGACGAGGATTGATTAGGTATGACTACAGACGAGGATTGATTAGGTATAACTACAGACGAGGGTTGATTAGGTATAACTACAGACGAGGATTGATTATGTGTAACTACAGATGAGGATTGAGTATGTGTAACTACAGATGAGGATTAATTATGTATAACTACAGACGAGGATTGATCAGGTATAACTACAGACGAGGATTGATCAGGTATAACTACAGACGAGGATTGATCAGGTATAACTACAGACGAGGATTGATCAGGTATAACTACAGACGAGGATTGATTAGATATAACTACAGACGAGGATTGATTAGATATAACTAAAGACGAGGATTGATTATGTATAACTACAGACGGGGACTGATTATATATAACTACAGACGAGGATTGATAAGATATAACTACAGACGAGGATTGATTAGATATAACTACAGACGAGGATTGATTATATATAACTACAGACGAGGATTGATTATGTGGAACTACAGATGAGGATTGAGTATGTGTAACTACAGATAAGGATTAATTATGTATAACTACAGACGAGGATTGATTATGTATAACTACAGACGAGGATTGATTATGTGTAACTACAAACGAGGATTGATTATATATAATTACAGACGAGGATTGATTAGGTAGAACTACAGACGAAAATTGATTATATATAACTACAGACGAGGATTGATTAGGTATAACTACAGACGAGGATTGATTAGGTATAACTACAGACTAGGATTGATTAGATATAACTACAGACGAGGATTGATTATGTATAACTACAGACGGGGACTGATTATATATAACTACAGACGAGGATTGATCAGGTATAACTACAGACGAGGATTGATTATATATAACTAAAGACGAGGATTGATTAGGTATAACTACAGACGAGGATTGATTATGTGTAACTACAGAGGAGAATTAATTATGTGTAACTACAGACAAGGATTGATTATGTGTAACTACAGACGAGGATTGATTATATATAATTACAGACGAGGATTGATTAGGTATAACTATAGACGAGGATTGATTAGGTATAACTACAGGCGAGGATTGATTATGTGTAACTACAGACAAGGATTGTTTATGTGTAACTACAGACGAGGATTGACTATGTATAACTACAGACAAGGATTGATTAGGTATAACTACAGACGGGGTTTGATTAGGTATAACTACAGACGAGGATTGATAGGTATAACTACAGACGAGGATTGATTAATTGTAACTACAGACGAGGATTGATTAGGTATTAAAGACGATGATTGATTAGGTATAACTACAGACGAGTATTGATTATGTGTAACTACAGAGGAGAATTAATTATGTGTAACTACAGGCGAGGATTGATTATGTGTAACTACAGACGCGGATTACTTATGTGTAACTACAGCCCAGGCTTGATTATGTATAACTACAGACAAGGATTGATTAGGTATAACTACAGACGATGATTGATTATGTGTAACTACAGACGAGAATTGATAAGATATAACTACAGACGAGGATTGATTAGGGATAACTACAGACGAGGATTGATTAGATATAACTACAGACGAAGATTGATTATGTATAACTACAGACGAGGATTGGTAAGGTATAACTACAGACGAGGATTGCTTATGTGTAACTAGTAACTACAGATGAGGATTGATTATGTATATCTACAGACGAGGATTGATAAGGTATAACTACAGACGAGGATTGATTATGTGTAACTACAGACGAGGATTGATAAGGTATAACTACAGACGAGGATTGCTTATGTGTAACTACTGACGAGGATTGATTATATATAACTACAGACGAGGATTGATTAGGTATAACTACAGACGAGGATTGATTAGTTATAACTACAGACGAGAATTGATTAGATATAACTACAGACGAGGATTGATTAGGTATAACTACTGACTAGGATTGATTATATATAACTACATGCGAGGATTGATTAGGGATAACTACAGACGAGGATTGATTAGGTATAACTACAGACGATGATTGATAAGGTATAACTACAGACGAGGATTGATTATATATAACTACATGCGAGGATTGATTAGGTATAACTACAGACGAGAATTGATTATGTATAACTACAGACGAGGATTGATCAGGTATAACTACAGACAAGGATTGATTATATATAACTACAGACGAGAATTGATTAGATATAACTACAGACGAGGATTGATTATATATAACTACAGACGAGGATGGATAAGGTATAACTACAGACGAGGATTGATTAATTGTAGCTACAGACGAGGATTGATTAGGTATAACTACAGACTAGGATTGATTATATATAACTACATGCGAGGATTGATTAGGGATAACTACAGACGAGGATTGATTAGGTATAACTACCGACGAGGATTGATAAGGTATAACTACAGACGAGGATTGATTATATATAACTACAGACGAGAATTGATTAGATATAACTACAGACGAGGATTGTTTATATATAACTACAGACGAGGATTGATTAGGTATAACTACTGACTAGGATTGATTATATATAACTACATGCGAGGATTGATTAGGTATAACTACAGACGATGATTGATAAGGTATAACTACAGACGAGGATTGATTAATTGTAACTACAGACGAGGATTGATTAGGTATAACTACAGACTAGGATTGATTATATATAACTACATGCGAGGATTGATTAGGTATAACTACAGACGAGGATTGATTAGGGATAACTACAGACGAGCATTGAGCAGGTATAACTACAGGCGAGGATTGATTAGGTTTAATTACAGACGAGGATTGGTTATGTGTAACTACAGAGGAGAATTAATTATGTGTAACTACAGCCGAGGATTGATAAGGGATAACTACAGACGAGGATTGATTATATATAACTACAGACGATGATTGATTATGTATAACTACAGACGAGGATTGATTAGGTATAATTACAGACGAGGATTGATTAGGTATAACTACAGACGAGGATTGAGCAGGTATAACTACAGACGAGGATTGATTATGTGTAACTACAGACGAGGATTGATTATGTGTAACTACAGACGAGGATTGATTATGTATAACTACAGACGAGGATTGTAGATATAACTACCGACGAGGATTGATTAGGTATAACTACAGACGAGGATTGATTATGTATAACTACAGACGAGGATTGATTAGGTATAACTACAGACGAGGATTGATTAGGTATAACTACAGACGAGGATTGATTAGGTATAACTACAGACGAGGATTGATTAGGTATAACTACAGACGAGGATTGATTAGGTATAACTACAGACGAGGATTGATTAGGTATAACTACAGACGAGGATTGATTAGGTATAACTACAGACGAGGATTGATTAGGTATAACTACAGACGAGGATTGATTAGGTATAACTACAGACGAGGATTGATTAGGTATAACTACAGACGAGGATTGATTAGGTATAACTACAGACGAGGATTGATTAGGTATAACTACAGACGAGGATTGATTAGGTATAACTACAGACGAGGATTGATTAGGTATAACTACAGACGAGGATTGATTAGGTATAACTACAGACGAGGATTGATTAGGTATAACTACAGACGAGGATTGATTAGGTATAACTACAGACGAGGATTGATTAGGTATAACTACAGACGAGGATTGATTAGGTATAACTACAGACGAGGATTGATTAGGTATAACTACAGACGAGGATTGATTAGGTATAACTACAGACGAGGATTGATTAGGTATAACTACAGACGAGGATTGATTAGGTATAACTACAGACGAGGATTGATTAGGTATAACTACAGACGAGGATTGATTAGGTATAACTACAGACGAGGATTGATTAGGTATAACTACAGACGAGGATTGATTAGGTATAACTACAGACGAGGATTGATTAGGTATAACTACAGACGAGGATTGATTAGGTATAACTACAGACGAGGATTGATTAGGTATAACTACAGACGAGGATTGATTAGGTATAACTACAGACGAGGATTGATTAGGTATAACTACAGACGAGGATTGATTAGGTATAACTACAGACGAGGATTGATTAGGTATAACTACAGACGAGGATTGATTAGGTATAACTACAGACGAGGATTGATTAGGTATAACTACAGACGAGGATTGATTAGGTATAACTACAGACGAGGATTGATTAGGTATAACTACAGACGAGGATTGATTAGGTATAACTACAGACGAGGATTGATTAGGTATAACTACAGACGAGGATTGATTAGGTATAACTACAGACGAGGATTGATTAGGTATAACTACAGACGAGGATTGATTAGGTATAACTACAGACGAGGATTGATTAGGTATAACTACAGACGAGGATTGATTAGGTATAACTACAGACGAGGATTGATTAGGTATAACTACAGACGAGGATTGATTAGGTATAACTACAGACGAGGATTGATTAGGTATAACTACAGACGAGGATTGATTAGGTATAACTACAGACGAGGATTGATTAGGTATAACTACAGACGAGGATTGATTAGGTATAACTACAGACGAGGATTGATTAGGTATAACTACAGACGAGGATTGATTAGGTATAACTACAGACGAGGATTGATTAGGTATAACTACAGACGAGGATTGATTAGGTATAACTACAGACGAGGATTGATTAGGTATAACTACAGACGAGGATTGATTAGGTATAACTACAGACGAGGATTGATTAGGTATAACTACAGACGAGGATTGATTAGGTATAACTACAGACGAGGATTGATTAGGTATAACTACAGACGAGGATTGATTAGGTATAACTACAGACGAGGATTGATTAGGTATAACTACAGACGAGGATTGATTAGGTATAACTACAGACGAGGATTGATTAGGTATAACTACAGACGAGGATTGATTAGGTATAACTACAGACGAGGATTGATTAGGTATAACTACAGACGAGGATTGATTAGGTATAACTACAGACGAGGATTGATTAGGTATAACTACAGACGAGGATTGATTAGGTATAACTACAGACGAGGATTGATTAGGTATAACTACAGACGAGGATTGATTAGGTATAACTACAGACGAGGATTGATTAGGTATAACTACAGACGAGGATTGATTAGGTATAACTACAGACGAGGATTGATTAGGTATAACTACAGACGAGGATTGATTAGGTATAACTACAGACGAGGATTGATTAGGTATAACTACAGACGAGGATTGATTAGGTATAACTACAGACGAGGATTGATTAGGTATAACTACAGACGAGGATTGATTAGGTATAACTACAGACGAGGATTGATTAGGTATAACTACAGACGAGGATTGATTAGGTATAACTACAGACGAGGATTGATTAGGTATAACTACAGACGAGGATTGATTAGGTATAACTACAGACGAGGATTGATTAGGTATAACTACAGACGAGGATTGATTAGGTATAACTACAGACGAGGATTGATTAGGTATAACTACAGACGAGGATTGATTAGGTATAACTACAGACGAGGATTGATTAGGTATAACTACAGACGAGGATTGATTAGGTATAACTACAGACGAGGATTGATTAGGTATAACTACAGACGAGGATTGATTAGGTATAACTACAGACGAGGATTGATTAGGTATAACTACAGACGAGGATTGATTAGGTATAACTACAGACGAGGATTGATTAGGTATAACTACAGACGAGGATTGATTAGGTATAACTACAGACGAGGATTGATTAGGTATAACTACAGACGAGGATTGATTAGGTATAACTACAGACGAGGATTGATTAGGTATAACTACAGACGAGGATTGATTAGGTATAACTACAGACGAGGATTGATTAGGTATAACTACAGACGAGGATTGATTAGGTATAACTACAGACGAGGATTGATTAGGTATAACTACAGACGAGGATTGATTAGGTATAACTACAGACGAGGATTGATTAGGTATAACTACAGACGAGGATTGATTAGGTATAACTACAGACGAGGATTGATTAGGTATAACTACAGACGAGGATTGATTAGGTATAACTACAGACGAGGATTGATTAGGTATAACTACAGACGAGGATTGATTAGGTATAACTACAGACGAGGATTGATTAGGTATAACTACAGACGAGGATTGATTAGGTATAACTACAGACGAGGATTGATTAGGTATAACTACAGACGAGGATTGATTAGGTATAACTACAGACGAGGATTGATTAGGTATAACTACAGACGAGGATTGATTAGGTATAACTACAGACGAGGATTGATTAGGTATAACTACAGACGAGGATTGATTAGGTATAACTACAGACGAGGATTGATTAGGTATAACTACAGACGAGGATTGATTAGGTATAACTACAGACGAGGATTGATTAGGTATAACTACAGACGAGGATTGATTAGGTATAACTACAGACGAGGATTGATTAGGTATAACTACAGACGAGGATTGATTAGGTATAACTACAGACGAGGATTGATTAGGTATAACTACAGACGAGGATTGATTAGGTATAACTACAGACGAGGATTGATTAGGTATAACTACAGACGAGGATTGATTAGGTATAACTACAGACGAGGATTGATTAGGTATAACTACAGACGAGGATTGATTAGGTATAACTACAGACGAGGATTGATTAGGTATAACTACAGACGAGGATTGATTAGGTATAACTACAGACGAGGATTGATTAGGTATAACTACAGACGAGGATTGATTAGGTATAACTACAGACGAGGATTGATTAGGTATAACTACAGACGAGGATTGATTAGGTATAACTACAGACGAGGATTGATTAGGTATAACTACAGACGAGGATTGATTAGGTATAACTACAGACGAGGATTGATTAGGTATAACTACAGACGAGGATTGATTAGGTATAACTACAGACGAGGATTGATTAGGTATAACTACAGACGAGGATTGATTAGGTATAACTACAGACGAGGATTGATTAGGTATAACTACAGACGAGGATTGATTAGGTATAACTACAGACGAGGATTGATTAGGTATAACTACAGACGAGGATTGATTAGGTATAACTACAGACGAGGATTGATTAGGTATAACTACAGACGAGGATTGATTAGGTATAACTACAGACGAGGATTGATTAGGTATAACTACAGACGAGGATTGATTAGGTATAACTACAGACGAGGATTGATTAGGTATAACTACAGACGAGGATTGATTAGGTATAACTACAGACGAGGATTGATTAGGTATAACTACAGACGAGGATTGATTAGGTATAACTACAGACGAGGATTGATTAGGTATAACTACAGACGAGGATTGATTAGGTATAACTACAGACGAGGATTGATTAGGTATAACTACAGACGAGGATTGATTAGGTATAACTACAGACGAGGATTGATTAGGTATAACTACAGACGAGGATTGATTAGGTATAACTACAGACGAGGATTGATTAGGTATAACTACAGACGAGGATTGATTAGGTATAACTACAGACGAGGATTGATTAGGTATAACTACAGACGAGGATTGATTAGGTATAACTACAGACGAGGATTGATTAGGTATAACTACAGACGAGGATTGATTAGGTATAACTACAGACGAGGATTGATTAGGTATAACTACAGACGAGGATTGATTAGGTATAACTACAGACGAGGATTGATTAGGTATAACTACAGACGAGGATTGATTAGGTATAACTACAGACGAGGATTGATTAGGTATAACTACAGACGAGGATTGATTATGTATAACTACAGACGAGGATTGATTAGGTATAACTACAGACGAGGATTGATTAGGTATAACTACAGACGAGGATTGATTAGGTATAACTACAGACGAGGATTGATTATGTGTAACTACAGACGAGGATTGATTATGTATAACTACAGACGAGGATTGATTATGTATAACTACAGACGAGGATTGATTAGGTATAACTACAGACGAGGATTGATTAGGTATAACTACAGACGAGGATTGATTAGGTATAACTACAGACGAGGATTGATTAGGTATAACTACAGACGAGGATTGATTAGGTATAACTACAGACGAGGATTGATCAGGTATAACTACAGACAAGGATTGATTATATATAACTACAGACGAGGATTTATTAGGTATAACTACAGACGTGGATTGATCAGGTATAACTACAGACGAGGATTGATTAGGTATAACTACAGACGAGGATTGATTAGATATAACTACAGACGAGGATTGATTAAGTATAACTACAGACGAGGATTGATTAGGTATAACTACAGACGAGGATTGTTAAGATAGAACTAAGCGACGTTTTGTAACGTAGTCCTAGGCAGTTTCAAAACTGACGAGTGATAAAAACACGTTATTGCAGCTATCTTTAAATATAATGTAAACTCAATGCATCGTTGTGACTGATGTATTTCATCCTTTCCAGATTCGACAGATGGGACGACGTCTTTGTCACCATTTCAAGAACAAGCAATGCCTTTAGAAGTAACGCAGTTGACGCCTCACGTGCAATGAAGACAGCCTCTGATATGTTTGCTGCAGCTCGCGGTGGACCAATCCCCAAGGCTCTAATCATGGTTACCGACGCTGCGTCCAACGAAAACACAGATATGATTGCAACAAGGAAGAAGGCGCTTGCCGACCAGGGTGTATCTATATATAGCGTGGGAATCGGCCTGCCAGGGAAGGAAGAACTGGAGCTACTAGCCACAGCCAGTGAAAATGTCTTCAGCGTAATTGGTTATGAACAACTGTCAAGGGCTGCTGTAGATATCAAGCGCAGAATACGTTCTCGTAAGCATTGTTTGTTTCTCAACACGGTTGACTAAGACCATATTAGACTAAATGATAAATATCAAAAGCATAACAGTACACATCTGGAAAACAACCAAACGTGTTTTCTATTGTTCGAGATAACATAGGCTTATGAATGAGAGATTCATAACGAGTCAGTTCGACATCGAATTATATACATTTATATGAGAGAATCTTTGAGAATTTGAAAATGAAATTTCGTAAAATTAGATCTTTACATTTTATTAATATTTACTTCAGTTTGTTATACAACTTTAGATACATTATTTTTCTTCCCTCTTCGTGAGTTAATAAAAATAAATCATAAATATGATTAAAAATCTTGTATCTACGACCAGTAACAGTAAGTGCACGCTGCCAGTATCGTCCGACGGAACTCACGTTTGGACTAGTTTTCGTTAGTATTCATATATCATTATATCTATTGAACATTTTGTTTACAATCTTTATAACTGAAAATTGCGATATGTGAATGATTGTAGCTCCGGTTTGTCCCTGTATGCTCGAAATACATTGTTTTTTTTATTAAATTTATTCCAGTGAATATCCTACCAGAACGCATCACAGTCCTACCTGTAACATCGACTGAAAACCGTAAGTGTAACATAGTTACAAGACGATCATGATCTGGGCGGTGCATGTCAGAGTGAATTCCGTATAGCCGTTTTTTTGGAAACTGTCTACATTTCGACTGTCCCATACTTCGTATGTTATCCATTTTCGCTGAGTAGCTTGATTCTCGGCATAAAACGTGTCAAATGTCAAATGAATTGAACATATTGCAGCACATCGAGGAAATACGAGTAACAGCAATGTGCTTATAAATCATTTGCATTTTTTTTAAAGGTGCAATATAATGCAATTATTGACATTTGTGCTGGTATATATGATGTTATATGAACATGAAAAGTGATATTTACCGAGGATGATGTTTTCGTCTCGGTTAATATCACTTTTCAGGTTCATATCGCATCATATTTACCAGCACAAAAGCTCATAACTGTTTTATTATATGCCTCAACAATTATATTTTGTATAGATAATCTTTACTTGAACGAGCCTCCGTTTTACATTTAGTCATGCTGTCATGGTCATTTTGCCCTCACAGGGGAAGACAAGGCGAACAGTAAGCTGTAGCGAATGTTGCCTGGTGTACAGTATTGCCGAACGCTTTGATAATGTCGTGACTTTTGGTAAACATAAATGTTTGCAGTATTACAAGATCTTGATGTGGCCGAATTGCAATGCACGTGATCTTTGTAATACATATCAACGGACTTATGTTATAACTCATTATGGCATACAAATGTTCCTCTGCAAATCGAAGGATTTATATTACGTTAAACGTTTGGGATTAGGCGTTATTTAAAGACATAACATAAAAACGTCATCGGGCCGGACATAAATTTCATAATTTATAGAATGTCATAAGCGATATGGATGCAACTTATTATTGTCATCATGCTAACCCTTTCGAAGAGTTTAAATTAGCATTGTGTCCTTGTGTGTCGACAATGTAATACTTAGTTTATGTATTGAATAACTTAAACATTCTTCGTAATAAAAGGTAATAATGTTTTTAATTTTTCCCTCAGCTCCAGCGCCTGTCCGTACTGTGTCCCCCACCAGTGAGTCAGGTAGGCGTTTTACTTATGACGTCATCACTTGTATCCGGCTGTATATGTAAAAGATGACGTGTTTCCGTTTTGCACTATAGCGCTTCCGCTTTGTTAGAAATCTTGCTACTACCAAATAGGTTTATTTCTATATCAACTAGAGGTTTTGGGAGTACGTACACAATATCATTTAGATAGCACCTTGTGACTAGTTGTTCAAAAATGATTTACTTAACGATTTTCTAAAACAAATTGTCAAACATATATGTTAGGAAAATATCTATTTCCATTTACCTTTTTGAAGTTTTTGTATATGCGATTTTTATATTTATGTTCTATTTCCGGTTATATAAAAAATAATTAATGTAATGTTTCAAAACGTGACGTTTGAAAATATCCTGTAAAATTACATTTTTTGATGATCATTTAGCATTATTATGCATAAAACTTTCAATTTTCAATATTTTTGAAAATAGATTTGTTTGACACTTTGTGTAAGTTGTCGTTAAGTCAACTGCCTTTTGAACATGCCCTGGTAATAAATACTGGTAATTGTTAGAAATATACTATAAATTACATAACACAAAACGTGGTTATTTTTTATGCACACATTCGTTTATACAATCAGATATATTAAAAATGTCATTCAATGGGAACAAATTAATAGTTGATAACTATTGGTAAACACTAATGATAATCAAATAGTAATTTGCATCTACGAGTCTAGTGCCTGTTTGTCTTAATTACCATCAGAATATACCGAAAAATGTTTGGTGGCAGATATATAATACATTCAATAAATCCACATGGAGTCATACCTTGACTCAGTCCTGAAACGTATCGACCGTTACAAGCAACAAGACTTAAAACATATTGTTAGAAAAATAATACATATATATATATTATAAAAAAGAAAATTCTCAACAGCGAGTCTTTAGTACTTTCATCCCCTCTAGGAGATTCCTCAGACACATATAATATATAATTATTTGACATAATACCTGACTTAAAATTATTTCATTTCATGAACCGAAAACGGAGTTCTTGAATGTCTGTTATGAGAGATGAATATAAAATGAAATCTCCATTACAAAGGAGATGGTTGTACCGAGGACGCTTGTTTCTGAACATGTATATGTACCAATACATGCTTGTTTTATCAGTATACTAAAACACGAAGTACCGGAAAATAGCAGATCATTATCTTCAGTAAATGAGATGTCGTTTTGTCTTTGTCACTGTAAAAGAAAGAGAACCCCTTAATGTCCCCCATGGCTGTATGTTTTACTCTAACGTAGTATCCTCAGACATGTTTTGTAGAAACGTCCGCAGTATACTCCAGTTAAAATAAATGCATTGTTAATGCTAATGTCTCACAGGTATTTGTTATGTCAGTAAATATCATCAATGTTTTGTTATTTGGAATATATCTGGTCATAAAATGGAAATATTTCCTTTTAACTATCAAAATATCGTCGTACCTTTTCCTTATTATTTAGTTCTTTATTTTATTTTATTTTTTTTAAATTTTTTTGGTTGTATTGCTAAACACAATATTCTGTATACTACTTGCATGAACGTAGAACATACAAATAATATTAATGATAATGTTATTTCGTCTGTGCTTCCGGCAATTCACTTGTATTTCAGGTCCGATACGAATCACGTTTCCGACTCCAGACGGGGGTAAGTTATTTTGTTTTATTGTTTCTTAATTAAGCTCTTTGAGATATTTTTGTTAAGTCGAGATGGAATATTTTAGTTTATTGTTTCGAAAAACGGTAAGTGATTTATGCCTCAGAAGGTGGATGTCCTAACCCCAGTGGGTGGAAATAGAGGACAAGATTACTACTTCGTAATTATTGTTTTGTTTTTGGAACCCAACTGCCTTGTTAGTGACACGGATTTTCGATACACGTTTTACCAGACCTCTGAAACCTATATATCACGTTGTATAACAATTAAAACAACGACATTGTTTTTCGTCGTCAGATTAACTTAATGTTTCTAACTGTATTGTCTTGCGTGGTTGAGAGAATGAAAGGGTGCTATCTGGCATACTTCGATGCAATTGTTTATCTAACCAAATAAATGAAGTACATATAATTCAATTATTTATTAATTATCATGATATGTTGATTAATAAATGTGTGACCTGTATGAGTTACTTTTCAGAACTTTTCGGCGATGAAGGTAAAATAATACACGCACGCCCAATGGGCGTATACACATAAGCTATCTCGCGTGTATACTCTAGAGATACTCCGCACATATAGCGACGCCAGCTGATGCCGTACGATCTATATATCATATCTGTTTTAGTCGAGCACCATCGCTTTTTATACATTTGTGTACTTATACAAAAGTATAATTATTTCATGGGATTACATGTATGCTTTGTGTGCACTTTTTGTGTTGGTTTACAAATGTTGGTGTGGTTATATACGTAAAAAGCGGACCTTCGTATTTCCATTTTCGAATATGTTGTTCGTATTAATATATATTCGAATAAAAGTCCCAATTAACGAGGCTATACTGTGGTCAATTGATGTTCATATACATTGTACCTTTAAACATCTTCCATTCATTTGTTCTCCCTAAACGATGAATAATTTTATAAAAGCAATCTAAATCTGTAATTTTCAACACAAACACTTGTCGTAATGATTTATGGTGATGTGGTACACGTATACGCAATTATAAACAGACTTCGTCAGCGTGTCATTGCTTTATGTGGAGAAGGGTTTGATGCTGTCTCTGTGTGGCAGGGGCTTGGTATGGTATACTGCTCAGGTGTTGTGGGTAGAGTGCGCGCGAACTTACCTATATATTTATATGTAGTAAGGTGCAGGGAATAGACAGCGCGCAGAGCTGTCTTTTTATGTATTGTAAGGTGTTGGTATACATGTGCTGGACAAATATATACATGTATATTTCTTATATTAATATTATGACATTTCGTGTAATTCAGTATCATTTTGTTTTGATAACAATAAATGGTATTTGCAATATTGGCATTTTTTACTTTTGACATGTTTAATACGATTTTAAAATGAATAAATGAAACCACAATGGTTACGGAGGAAACTTTTGATATTAAACACGTTGTTTTAAACTTTATTTATGTCCGTCGAATGCTCGATTTCATAAATAATCCTATTCTGTGAAGACAGTTAATAAGTAAAGTCACAATAGACGTGCTTGACAGACAACTTGTAAGCGTATACCCTTCCCTTAAAAGGGAATTTCGAATGAATATTGTGTAAAACGTTTGTTTATCTGTATTGCTCGTTGTCCGTTGTGTATACGTACATGTGATGTTCCGAGACGCCTGGTCGTAATAACCAGCTGTGCCTGATCCTTCAATTACAGCCTTCTACGACTGTTCCTCGGGTACTGCCGACATTGTGTTTGTTATCGACTCATCCACCAGTGTAGGTGGGCCTAGCTTTAGGAAAATGCTGGAATTTATGACAGACTTTGTCAACACAGTGGACGTCGACTCGGGAAATCACAGAGTCGGCGTAGTCGTATATAATACCCAGATTACCATCAAGATATTCCTGGACGACCACCTGGACAGAGATAGCCTGCTCGAGGCGATTTCGAGTATCCGGTATACATATGGAAATACTAACACTGCCGAGGGTTTACGAGTAGCTAGAGAAGACATTTTGGGGGCCACAGGTGACCGAAAAACTGTTCCTAATGTAGTTATCCTAATCACAGACGGTATTCCGAATATGAACGTCCGTCGGACAATACCAGAAGCGACGCTAATAAAAGAAGGCACAGCTCGACTGTACTTTATAGGAGTAGGGTTGAGCCCCGGAAGTACTTTGGACGCCATACCATCAGAACCCTTCAGCGAAAACGGATTCTATATTGACGATTTCGATTCATTGCCAACTATAGAAAACAACATTTTCTCGGGCATCTGTAAAGGTACACTATCGAGTATCAGCTTTGAAATATCTCTTACGCCTTTTACTCGTTTTTACTTTGCTGTAAAGCACAAATCTTCGGAGATTGGTTTTCTTTCATTGTCATATTCATCTCTGTTATCTTTTAACTTACAATTTCATTTCCTCTCATTTCCACTGCACATTTTAAATATGACTACATTGGTGATGGATTAATTAGCGGAAGGATTTAGCGTATTCTGATGGTTCTGCAGTAACCAAATGCTGTGGTGATGGTATTTATATTAGTTTGATGCATCTACGTTTTTCCGACATTATGCACATACAAGTGTATACAGGTGTATGGGCTATTGGATCGCTGGCTATATGTTACAGGTGCTTGGGATGTTAGGTCAAAAGCATAGACGACATGCCAGAATTTTGTCATGGTTGATTTGCATGGGTGCGGCGAGGCTTAACACTAAGCTAGAACATGGTGGCCATGTGCATCTAACAAGTGATTGGATAAAGGGTTTGGCGAAAAGTGGTGACCTGGTGAAGGTAAACAGTGATGAAATATTAGCGAGGAAATGATATTGATCACTTGCATAAAGAAACTGCTTTTACAGGGTGACTGTTTTATAGAAATAACAAATTAATAGTAACTGGTTAACAAAAATGCTTCATACACATTGTTCGGTTGACGGAATGGCATATACACGGTGATTGGGGGCGAGAAAACGCATGTAAATGGTGATTGGTTGACAGAGATCCCACATATTCGGTGATTGGTCTATGTCTTTATGTACTCGTTCAAATTTTGGTGATCGGCATGTGTACGAATATTGATAATAAGATTGTTGAATATGTTCCGATACAGAACTATACATTTCAATCATTATATGTATCATTTTTTTCTAACAATCTTTATTTTTCGATTAGTGTTAATTTTTCATTCATCAATTCATCTCACTTTTTGGATTGATTCCTGTATGATATACGTTCACGATGCAAATGCATCTGTTCATGTTCATGCTCATTTCGTATCATTGATAAATATATATGTTGACTGTTGAATATGTGTGAAGTTCACTCACTCCTTCATTTTCAGAAACCATTAAGTGTGTGTCGGGGAAGGCAGATATTGCCATCCTCTTAGATTCCTCCACAAGTGTTGGGAAAGGAAACTTTAACAGCATGTTGGATTTCACTAAGAACATTGTAAAGTCATTAGATATGGATTCTGGTCGATTCCAAGTTGGCATCTTAACCTACAACACATTTGTAGTTCACAAAACTATGTTGAATGATTTTCAAACTTCGGCCGACCTTTTGAGTTTCATAGATAATATTCCGTATACTTACGGTAATACAAATCCGGCTGATGCCCTAAGGTTTGCCAGGGTTAGTATGTTCAGTCCAGAAGGAGGCGACAGACCAGATGCCACTAACCTGATAATGCTGATCACGGATGGTCTGGCTAACATGAATCCGAGGCGGTCCGTTCCAGAGGCTAATCTTGCTCGAAATGAGGGAATACGGGTGCTTGTGATGGACGTAGGTGTCGGAAGAGCTGCGGAATTAGCCGGGATGGCCAACAAACCAATCGAGAAAAATCGGTTTAGCGTTAATACGTTCGACGAAATGGAGAAGATCAAGAATGCTTTAATGATAGAAGTCTGCGAAGGTAGATACATTCATATGGTATATAAATCTTCTGTGCATCTATATTGTCTGGTCATTTCGGATGAAAATGATCATCATATTGCGGTCTGCAATGTTTTCCCCTTTGTTTCGAAATGATCAAGAACCTTGTTTATAACACCAAAAAATATAATACATTACATATTGTAAGATTGCATGCAACAGGTTTCTAACTGCATGCGAAAAGAAAAATAATGCCAAGAAATATAAATAGAAGGAAATAAAAATATGTCGCACATCAAGAAATCTCAACTGATAATATCCGGCTACAATAAATAACCTTTGATAGCAAGATATATACAAGATATCTAAATTTTCAGAGAGTCGAACATGCACTGCTGTACCACGTGACATCGTGTTTGTCATCGACTCTTCATCGAGCGTGGGAACAACAAGTTTCCGCAAAATTATGTCCTGGATATCAGAACTCGGCCATGCTGTCGATATAGACGGGGGCACATACAGGATAGGAATTGTAGTCTACAATACAAAGATCACCAAAACAGTTTATCTCAACCAGGCTACTTCTAGAGCAGATCTAGAGAGAGAACTTAAGAATATCCCTTACTCCTATGGTAATACCAACACGGCTGACGCTATTAGGGCTACCCGCGAGGAAGTGTTAGGGAGGGGCCCAGGGAGGAGGGCGGGGGTACAGGGGATGATCGTTCTTATAACAGATGGGATATCAAACACGAATGCGCGCCGGAGTATACCGGAAGCTAACAGTGCAAGGGCTGCTGGGATACAAGTATACGCCATTGGTGTTGGTATGAGAGATCGACAGGAGATTGACGGGATAGTCAGCAAACCTCTGTCTGTTCACCGTATCCTTGTTAGCAGCTATGATGCGCTACCGGCGATTTCGAATGAGTTATTTGATGGCGTTTGCACAGGAGGTATAGTGTTACTTACTTATTTTACTACAACAGATAAAGACTAATAGATGAAGGACTTCATTGTAAATTGATCTACAAAACAGTATTCGTATTCACTATATGTCAGAAATGTTTTGTCATTAATTTGTCCTTTTGTCGGTTTCGTTGCCGTGATGTTTATTTTATTCGCAATTGCCGCTATCTATTTAAGCCGCTGCCCTATGTATATGCTCTTTACACGTGTGTACGTGTATGTACGTCTTGTTCCATTGTTCCATTTCGCAATCCTTAATCTGATGTTATTTTCTTTTCTTTTTTTTTTGTTTTGCTACATTATGTCAATAATACACACATGATCATCATTTAACTACTATACAATATATAGAAACGAGGTATGAAATTTTCATTATATAACTGTTATGACATGGGACATATCGAAATTTAAGATAGTATAGAAATATTATGTCCATTATATTCATGACCTGAAACATAACTTAAGTAAACAAGGTGATTTCATTATCATTTTAATCAAGAATTAACGAATATGGACTAACAACGGTAGCGAAAGTTCAAACCAAACGATTTTATAACAAAAAAATGTTATATAAATGTAATGGATATAATATCATATAAAGACTTTTTTGAAATATTGACCACGCGATAACAAAGCGCTCAAAAATAGAGATTGACCTCGTGTGATTTAATGTTCATGCACTGTTTTAATGCTGTACCGACAGGGGTGGACAATCTGTTGATACCGTCACTGCCACAACCCCAGACAGGCTCGTCAGGTAATACAACATTATATTGATCAACACAATAATATATTACGCTTCCAATATAACATGTTTCAATCCATCAAACATATATTTTATAATACGTGGACGTGAAAGGATTTCTTAATGATGCATACCTCCTTCATTCAGGTATTGATGTTTTTATTTACATTTGTGTCACCCGTTTCTTTATGTGAGTTTCAATTTAATTTAAAACAAGAATTGGTTTTATGAATGATCGATTTAGCCCACCTGATATGAATATTCATCAAATTCGTTTATTTCAAAGAAGCTGATTTTGCTTAACCGACAATACACCACATAACTATACAACTGTTAACATGACTATCTGTTGTGGCCTATTTCTATAACTATACAACTGTAAACATGACTATCTGTTGCGACCTATTTCTATAACTATACAACTGTAACATGACTCTCTGTTTTGTACCTATTTCTATAACTATACAACTGTAAACCTGACTATCTGTTGTGACCTATTTCTATACCTATACTGACTATCTGTTGTGACCTACTTCTATAACTATACAACCGTAAACATGACTATCTGTTGTGTACCTATTTCTATAACAATACAACTGTAAACATGACTCTCTGTTGTGACCTATTTCTATAACTATACAACTGTAACATGACTCTCTGTTTTGTACCTATTTCTATAACTATACAACTGTAAACATGTCTATCTGTTGTGACCTATTTCTATAACTATACAACTGTAAACATGACGATCTGTTGTGACCTATTTCTATAACTATACAACTGTAAACATGACTATCTGTTGTGTACCTATTTCTATAACTATACAACTGTAACATGACTCTCTGTTTTGTACCTATTTCTATAACTATACAACTGTAAACATGACTATCTGTTGTGACCTACTTCTATACCAATACAACTGTAAACATGACTATCTGTTGTGTACCTATTTCTATAACTATACAACTGTAAACATGACTATCTGTTGTGACCTATTTCTATAACTATACAACTGTAAACATGACTATCTGTTGTGACCTATTTCTATAACTATACAACTGTAAACATGACTATCTGTTGTGACCTATTTCTATAACTATACAACTGTAAACATGACTATCTGTTGTGACCTATTTCTATAACTATACAACTGTAAACATGACTATCTGTTGTGACCTATTTCTATAACTATACAACTGTAAACATGACTATCTGTTGTGACCTATTTCTATAACTATACAACTGTAAACATGACTATCTGTTGTGACCTATTTCTATAACTATACAACTGTAAACATGACTATCTGTTGTGACCTATTTCTATAACTATACAACTGTAAACATGACTATCTGTTGTGACCTATTTCTATAACTATACAACTGTAAACATGACTATCTGTTGTGACCTATTTCTATAACTATACAACTGTAAACATGACTATCTGTTGTGACCTATTTCTATAACTATACAACTGTAAACATGACTATCTGTTGTGACCTATTTCTATAACTATACAACTGTAAACATGACTATCTGTTGTGACCTATTTCTATAACTATACAACTGTAAACATGACTATCTGTTGTGACCTATTTCTATAACTATACAACTGTAAACATGACTATCTGTTGTGACCTATTTCTATAACTATACAACTGTAAACATGACTATCTGTTGTGACCTATTTCTATAACTATACAACTGTAAACATGACTATCTGTTGTGACCTATTTCTATAACTATACAACTGTAAACATGACTATCTGTTGTGACCTATTTCTATAACTATACAACTGTAAACATGACTATCTGTTGTGACCTATTTCTATAACTATACAACTGTAAACATGACTATCTGTTGTGACCTATTTCTATAACTATACAACTGTAAACATGACTATCTGTTGTGACCTATTTCTATAACTATACAACTGTAAACATGACTATCTGTTGTGACCTATTTCTATAACTATACAACTGTAAACATGACTATCTGTTGTGACCTATTTCTATAACTATACAACTGTAAACATGACTATCTGTTGTGACCTATTTCTATAACTATACAACTGTAAACATGACTATCTGTTGTGACCTATTTCTATAACTATACAACTGTAAACATGACTATCTGTTGTGACCTATTTCTATAACTATACAACTGTAAACATGACTATCTGTTGTGACCTATTTCTATAACTATACAACTGTAAACATGACTATCTGTTGTGACCTATTTCTATAACTATACAACTGTAAACATGACTATCTGTTGTGACCTATTTCTATAACTATACAACTGTAAACATGACTATCTGTTGTGACCTATTTCTATAACTATACAACTGTAAACATGACTATCTGTTGTGACCTATTTCTATAACTATACAACTGTAAACATGACTATCTGTTGTGACCTATTTCTATAACTATACAACTGTAAACATGACTATCTGTTGTGACCTATTTCTATAACTATACAACTGTAAACATGACTATCTGTTGTGACCTATTTCTATAACTATACAACTGTAAACATGACTATCTGTTGTGACCTATTTCTATAACTATACAACTGTAAACATGACTATCTGTTGTGACCTATTTCTATAACTATACAACTGTAAACATGACTATCTGTTGTGACCTATTTCTATAACTATACAACTGTAAACATGACTATCTGTTGTGACCTATTTCTATAACTATACAACTGTAAACATGACTATCTGTTGTGACCTATTTCTATAACTATACAACTGTAAACATGACTATCTGTTGTGACCTATTTCTATAACTATACAACTGTAAACATGACTATCTGTTGTGACCTATTTCTATAACTATACAACTGTAAACATGACTATCTGTTGTGACCTATTTCTATAACTATACAACTGTAAACATGACTATCTGTTGTGACCTATTTCTATAACTATACAACTGTAAACATGACTATCTGTTGTGACCTATTTCTATAACTATACAACTGTAAACATGACTATCTGTTGTGACCTATTTCTATAACTATACAACTGTAAACATGACTATCTGTTGTGACCTATTTCTATAACTATACAACTGTAAACATGACTATCTGTTGTGACCTATTTCTATAACTATACAACTGTAAACATGACTATCTGTTGTGACCTATTTCTATAACTATACAACTGTAAACATGACTATCTGTTGTGACCTATTTCTATAACTATACAACTGTAAACATGACTATCTGTTGTGACCTATTTCTATAACTATACAACTGTAAACATGACTATCTGTTGTGACCTATTTCTATAACTATACAACTGTAAACATGACTATCTGTTGTGACCTATTTCTATAACTATACAACTGTAAACATGACTATCTGTTGTGACCTATTTCTATAACTATACAACTGTAAACATGACTATCTGTTGTGACCTATTTCTATAACTATACAACTGTAAACATGACTATCTGTTGTGACCTATTTCTATAACTATACAACTGTAAACATGACTATCTGTTGTGACCTATTTCTATAACTATACAACTGTAAACATGACTATTTGTTGTGACCTATTTCTATAATTATTCAGCTGAAAACATGACTATCTGTTGTGTACCTATTTTCAGTTATTAAGGGGTGTTCGGATGGGAGAGGTGACATACTGTTCATTCTTGATTCGTCAACAAGTGTCGGGGATGAAAATTTCAGAAAAATGTTGGATTTCATGAAGGATATCATCGGAGCAGCCCCGATTGATTCCGGACATTACCGAGTCGCAGTCTTGGTCTTTAACTCCAATGTCAAGGTAACTCTGCTACTAAATGCTATAGATAACAAACAAGATTTGTTGACCTACATAGACAATATACCTTATAGCTACGGAAACACACACACTGCGTCCGCATTACAAGCCATGCGTGATACGATATTCATCCCGTCACACGGTGATAGGTCCGACGCTCCGAACATTGCTATTGTAATGACTGATGGGGAATCAAACATCAATTCCGGACGAACAATTCCAGAGGCTAATGCCGCAAAAAGGGAAGGTGTGGAGATATATGGAATTGGTATTGGGCTAATGGAAACTACCGAAATAGACGGGATCTCGAGCAAGCCTAAAGATACACACAGCTTCAACGTTGATAACTTCGACAGTTTGAACGGCATGAAGACAGATCTTTTTTCAAAGATCTGTATAGGTAAATGCATGCACCGCCTGGCGTATTATTCTAGAATATTGATAAATGATGCTTTAAATGATTTTATTCTAATGTGTATCAATGTCTGCATTGATCTTAGTTCTGAAAATTAAACTATATTTTGTTTAAAATTCTGATATATAAATCAAACAGAGTCAAACAATAAATGTTTTACATTGGTAACATTTATATGTTGACTCTATAATTTGTAATCATAGTGTAAAGTACATCGATAAATATGTTATACTGATTAAAAGGCTTTGGTGCTGGTTTCGTTGTTCAATAATCACGGAGATATATGGAAAATTTAACAGATTAGAGAAGTCGGTAATGGGCAAATGTTAAGTAGCTTGTAAACTTATGAGTTTAGAAAAATAATTGCTTAAAGGTTCTGAATGTTTGAACTTTTATACATATGTGTATGCTTTGGCAAATGATTCATATAGTGCTTATTCCAACTGACTTGTTAAATGTATACGACGCACAATATCATGTATCAATATGTATATTGCATGTAGTTCACTATAGCCTATGGCATTTCAGTATGCAAAATAAACGGAGCCGTCCAAGCATCGCATTGCTGTCGCGTTTACAAGCGGCTAACCATTCTTGATTCGCTGCAAAACAAGTGAACCGCAACCTGCATTGCAAAGTATATAACACAGAGCTGAAACGTAATCATAAGGGTATCCGTACGACAAAGCAAATGTATACTGCTTTGTAGTAACCGTCTGTGGCTAATTTCAGAAAAACAAGTGGAAGAATCAGCATCGTCTCGACATCCGAAAAACGGGGGTGAGACAAAGTATTATATAAATCCTAAGATTTTTAAGATTTTTGTTTTGTTTGGTTTGTTGCTATACCAGTGCGAAAATCGAGAAAAACATTGAATTTTAGCGTTGAATCATGTCTGATTCCGAATTCAAGTGACCAGCCGTAAATAATGTTGTTCATTTTATTAAAGAGTTTGAATTTTTTCAAAACTAATTCATTTGAAATAAGAGTGCTTCATTTATTCTCTTATTATGATAAAATGAAGGTTTGTATCTGATTATATCAATATTAACGGTCACTGACTGTATTTGTGTTACACATGTTTGCAGTGTGTGGATCTGCCCAATATGACATCGTATTCCTCTTGGATTCATCGACCAGCGTAGGAGAACGAAATTTCAAACTAGTCCTAAATTTTACGAAAGGACTGATATCAAAAGCTGACATTGACTCTGGTTCTGTTCGGGTGGGACTTCTCACCTATAGTTCCCGATCAAGAGTACACTTTTATCTTAATGCGTTCTCGTCTAAAGCCCAAATAATGGAAGCTATAGACAGTATCCCTTTCGAATTCGGTAGCACGAATACTGCAGACGCATTGCGTGATATGAGAGTAAAATTATATTCACCAGAAAATGGAAATAGGGAAGGTGTTCCTGACATAACTTTTATACTAACTGACGGGACATCGAACATTAATTCTGCCAGAACAATTCCAGAGGCAAAAAAAGCCAAAAAAGTAGGCATTCATATATACGCGGTGGGTGTTAATTTACATGATACAACAGAACTTGATCAAATAGTAACCGCTCCTATTGTACGTAACCGTTTCACAGTCAGTGATTTTGGAGGTCTGGATGAACTGAAGGATACTCTGTTCCCCTCTCTCTGTTCGGGTGGGTACATTGTGTCGACATTGTAGGTGATGGTGAAATATGTTCATATCTATATTTTGCGTGACAAGAAGTGTTGGTGAACCTTAACTGTACGTAATGTGGCTTATTATTTACTCTTGTCTGCGTGGTGGTGAATGGTGCTGTACTTGACGTTGACGAAATGCAGTTAAGTCGTTACTAGTGGCTGTATGTTGGGGTATATCTTTATACAGGGTGTTACGAAAAAGATGTATGGAAATATGGTTAGTAGTTGCTTGTGTCAGTGTGGTGTTGCAATGATGTACTGTGATGGGAGTTATTGTGAAGTAATTATAATTGTTCACGTTGCGGTTTCTGTATTGTAGCAATGCCTATCATGATGTATGTTTTTGTGATAGAGCTGTAGTTATGTTGGTGTATTTGGTGTTGGGAAACTGTATATGTGTATGGTAGGTCAAACGAAATTATGTACATGTGCGGTTTGTCACATTGCGTTACATATGCGGTCAGGACATGGCGCTACATTGCTGTAAACATATGTTGCTATGATAATATGTTAGTTATTTACATATGATATACTGCTAAATGATTGATGTGTCAACTTTCAATACTTTATTGTCGTAAAACACTTTAAAGGTTAAGATAAAGGAGTAAAAGAAAAACTTTGAATGTAGATAATTTCATTTAAGTTCAGGACATTCCGTTGCATTTCTGATATGATATTATGATCATTATTTAATATCTATTGAAGTTAGCCCAAATACGTATTTCAAAATCGAATGAACAAGAAACTCCAAATGTATTTTCCACAAAACATTTATACGCGTTCTAATGGAAGTTTGTGCATTACGTGTTTCCTTTCAGATATCCCCCCACCTCCTCCGCAGCCGGTGGAGTTAGGTGAGTCGGCTAAGAGATCGACTACATTCACTTCAACTATGTTTTATCAAAAATGAAAGATCATTACAATTCGATAACACGATATTTGTTTAAACGCTAAGATATTCAATACAAAATCATAATTAAGAAAGTTCTGACATTTTTTGTACTGTAGAAAATAATACATAGGTTTAACTTTAAAATTGAATATGCATAGATTTCAAATATATCAGTAACGATAACGTTCGCTGCATCTTGCGTTTATATTTTGCAAAAGCGTTATAGATATGCAATATTTGTTGCATGCTGCTCATTATACATTTGCGATGTATTGCCTGCATTTTAGCGTGCAAGTCGCTGCGGCAAGATATAGTGTTCATCCTGGATTCATCAACGAGTGTTGGGGAGAGGAACTTCCGAAAGGTGCTCAATTTTACGAAAGATTTCTTGTTGGGTGCGGCCATTGATTCCGGAAGTGTCCGTGTTGGACTGGTTAGCTACAGTACTTCAGTCACCGTTCACTTTCATCTGAATACATTCAGCACGAAGGCTGAAGTTATCTCTGCAATTGAAGATGTAAGATATGTTGCCGGGAGTACCAATACAGCCGATGCACTTAAAACAATGTATAGCGATATGTTCACTGTAGATCGCGGCGACCGTAGCGATGTGTCTAACGTTGCCATGGTAATCACAGACGGAGTGTCAAACATCAACATGAGGCAGACGATTTCAAGAGCGGAGGAAGCGCAATCATTAGGGATATCAATATATGCTATCGGGATTGGTTTGGATGAGACGGTAGAACTTAAAGGAATAGCGAGTAGTCCGACAGATGATTTCCTCTTAACTATTGAAGATTTCTCTGAGCTGAACCAAGTGAAAAAGACGTTGTTTGAGTCCTTCTGTCTTGGTAACATCATTTATGTAAATGGAAAGGGGGGAACGAGGTTGCAAACCTTACTACTGACGCTTTAGCTTTTGTTCCAAACATTTAGTAAATATCCCGTGTCTCTCTGCAGTAGTTACTATTGTGGTGCAAAGGGAAAATGACCTTTCCTATACTGCTTTTTTCAAGCTTATTGTGGTGATATTGTGAGTATTGTCTTTTCTATGTGCTCTCTGCATATATTTCAATTATTTGTTTTACAATTCTAAATGTCTATATTTCTTTCTTTTCTCTAACACAAACGTATTGTGTATTTGTAAATACAATTATTTCTTTTCTTGCCGAAACATAAATTATTTCCCATCCCAAGGGTGTAAGATTAGATATTAAGGAATGTAAAATTAAGATGGCGTAGTGTAGTGAGTCTGTTTTGTTTCTGGTACATGTTTCATATGTTCACTGCCTTGTAATTGTATCTATAATACAATGCTGTTTAAATAATGTTTTTTTTTTTTTATTTCTGATCTTCTATTCTTTTTAAGCTTTACTCATAGGTAATCTATTTAGTTTAGCGTATGTATATTACTTACTTTGATCTGGTGAAGATTTCTGGTGGTGGTTTGGGTTTGTTTTTAATACATTTCTAAAGGTGTTAGAACCGTATATATAGGTTTTGGTTTAGTAATGTACTCTTGCCTTAGTCAAACACTAGACCCGAACGTGACTTACGTTTGCTGTTTGACGAAATATGAGGTCTATATATTCCCATATCCCGATGTTAAATCCATATTATAAGGATTTATTTGAATCGATTTTACTTTTCAGAAGAACCTAAACCGATCCGTGTAATTCCCAGTGAGTAAAAACCTGATCATACACTTAGCCTATAATCTTATTTCGTCAACAGGAATATCCTTTTATCTCATATCGGCATTCAGTTGAACATGTTGTGACTTTTTACGATAGAAGAACGCTACTTTAGATAGAGAAAAACTCACCAAACGGTTTACTGGAGACAGATAACTGCAAACAGTACGAGTCCGCTTCCTTTCACTTTAGATGGTGTCCCTCCCTACATAATAAAGAAAGTTCGCAATTTGTTTGGCGAGCTATTAAGTTTTGAACAAGTAAGGACCTCTGTTGTTTGCATTTTTTTATTTTTTATTTTCCTGTTTTTAACTTCTTTATGAACTTGTTAACCATATTACCTGAATGATTTTTTATGAAAATTATATTACAAAACTACAAACACTACTTATTGGAAGGAAGATCAACCGTACAGTCAGGTAGTGCCTCCGCGGAAAATCAGTACTCAGTTTAAAAGAAATATTCTCTTTTGTTTTCCCATGTCAGAATTATTAATCTAATTCTATTTCCGTTTGTAATTTAAACACATTATCTCATCAAACTCTTAGGAGGATATTAGATAACAATAAGTTACAAAAATCGCTGTAGTTAGAAGTACTAATAAGTTATTGGTCTTACAATAAAGTTGAACTTTTCCTTATCTTTTAAATTAATAGATCAATCAATAAAGAAAGTTAATTTTTAACCATCATGTAATTATTATTTTTTATTGATAT